CGTTGGAGCCACAGCGGGCATGCCAGGTGGGGGGACACGAGCGAGCCGTCTGCGGGCCGGACCAGGGCCTGGGTTTGTGCAGAAGGAGCGAGGAGCGCTGTTCGTCGGCGCCGAGGGTTGAAGTATAGCCGGTCTATCTTCCCCTTGAGCAGGTCGGCCTTCATGATCAGCCGATCCACCAGCACGACGTGTGCGTCCTTCAGCGTCTTCTTGACGAAGCTGGCGGCGAAGGTGTTGCATCGCAAATAGACGTCTTCTCTGAGGAAGAGGCCTTCACGCGGCACGTTGGTGAGGCCCAGTTCGACCGGCTCCCGCGGCTCGCCGGGCATGTTCCCGCACACCGTCCATCGATTCCGGATGTCGAGGTTCGTGGGTGCGTAGATATGTGTTTGTAGGCCGCGTTGGAGATCGTGGAAGCAGGCCTTGTAGGTGACGTTGCCCCGTATTATGCGGCCGGGGAGATAGTGGATGTTGTCTGTCAGCTCATACCAGATGCAGTGGAATTCGTCTGGCGGGGCGTTTGGCGGGGCTTTGCAACGTTTATGTTTGATCACCAGCGGGTTCAGCTCTATCATCTCACTGTGGGCATGGAGGGTCTTGATGACGAGGTCCCGCGGGATATAGGAAGGGAGAGGAGTAACTGTCGTGAAGACGATGCGTTTGAACATGGCTGTGTTTTGTCTGTCATTCGATTGGATGTTCTTTTCTTGATATGAAGGGCTGGAATGTATGTAGCTTTGAATCTAGTTTCTTGCAGTCTCCATGTGCAAGCATACACCCGTGCACACAAACCAACACAGCGGGTCTTGGGGAGAGAAGTCGGGGGTATAGAGGAGGCGTTTGATATGCTAATATGCCAGCGGGTCCTTGCGCGGTTCTATATACTTTTGGTGAATAGAGCTGGCCAGAGCGGAGCAGTCAAGGGGCCTGCAAGTGATAAAGGGGAAGTCAGGAGGCAAAAACTAAATGGACGAATCTTTTGGAGGGCATACTATTACAGAGGCTTCGGGTTTGTTCCACGTCACAGAACCCGCCGCAGCCAGGAAACGGGGCAAAGGAAGGGCCAACTAAAGTTACCAGAGTTCTGGCATTCCCAGATGAGAGAAGGTCACCGTCGACGTCACGGAGATATATTATTGTATTGACCTATACTATCTGACTTCAGCCCGAGGGCTAGAGCCATCGATGGGGCATGTTTCGTATATAGAATCTGTAGATAAATATATACACACAATATCATTGATATTATTCCAAAATGCCCCACGCCCTTTGCGTAAGAGCCAGCACGGACACGGACACGGACACGTTCGCGGATAGAGTCCGGTCAGCCACGTCGAGCATATCCCCATCACGTCGAGCTCCTTCTCCCGAATGTTTGTGCAATATGGGCGCCGTAAACTAGCATTGGGAATAGTGAGGCGGATGCAGCCCGGCGCGGAGGATCAGCAAACGAACGCAGGAACCTCGCCACAGGAGCGCCAAGCCCCAGCAGGGGCCAAAGCTTAAAGGCGCAACATTATCCCCGTCCTGGCTCCGACGTCTTGGCGGATCTTGGCACGAGCTGCAGTCTCCCAACAACACTGGCGCCGATTTTGTTTGCTATCCCCGTGGACAGATGGGCCGTTGCGGTTGATTCGCCGATGGGGAGTGGAATAGCTAGTTTCAATAGGTCATGAATAGGTCATGAATAGGTCATGAATAAGAGGCGCGTTTTAAACATCCGCACAAAACCAGGAAACAGGAAACAGGAACTATTCTTACCAATGACAGGAGCAAGCGGTGGAAAGTCTAAAATATTGTAGGTCGCCGGAGCATGACAAATCCACGGGGGATCACGGCATCACGGGGCCTTGGCAGTGCTGGCCATTCCCTGGGAAGTCTGAGGCGCTGTTGTCCGGGTCAGGTCTGGGCATTTGAGCATGTTTGGCGTCTGCGGTTTTCGCTGCCTGGATCTGGCCAATCAACGGGCCGATTCGGGCAGAGTCGGCCCTCAACGATCTATGGATGGGTGTTAGTCCTTTTAACCCGTTTAGTTAAATGGTCAAACTTTTTGCCCTGCTCGTGCCTGGCTTCTGCAATATCACAGGCGGCGGCAGCAGACTTGGATTTGGATTTGGATTTGGATTTTGTTTCTGCTGCTGCTGCTGCTGCTGCTGCTGCTGTTTTGTGGAATGTCCTGCCTGGTTCGTACAGAGGAGGTGGGGGGAGGCTACTTCTAGCTCCTTCGCCGTTTGCTGTCCTCCGCCTCGAGGAGTGGGGGGTCTTGGCGGTCTAACCTGTACTGGGTTGGCCGAAGTTCACCGGAAACTTTGGCCTCCAGCCCAGCCTAGGCTAGGACCAGCCACGCAGCTCTGTTTGAACGACGTTGCTCCTTTTCGACTTATCGAGAGTTGGAGAAGCTCCGGGTTCTCTGATTATTTGATGAAACGGAGATATTATTTTGCTCATTCGAATCATTGGAAACCATTCTATTAATACCAATACATCTTATTATAACTCCAGCTTGTCAGGTGTCCGTTCTTGCTGAAACTGGCAGTGGTGGAATAACTATTGTCTTTTTTTTCCCCCCAACTGATTCGGCACATGTGAAAAGTTTTGATTCTCACTAAGAATTTAAACTGAAATATTGATATCGGCATTAAGTGTTGCCGTTCCGTCTCTTGATTGAGAGAATAGGGACTCTCAGGAAAAATAGAGGCCAGGCAGTGTGGGCTTAAGATTCGGTACACTAGTAAGAATATTTCAGTGTAAATATTTAGTATCTGCAGTAGAGATAGATATTAGAATGGCGAAGTACAGCACAAGCATCCACCAACTTCCGAGTACGAACCACAGACAAAACCAGCAGAGAGAAATTGACCGACAAAAACGATTCATACCAAACATTTGGCTTTTCTGGATGAATCAACTAATTCTCTCATATAGACAAGTATTCTGGCAGTGGGACAGCGTTTTCAACGAGACATTGAACAAGGAAGTCGAGTGCCACTGGCCTCAAGTGCTTGCTTGATAACATGCGGAACGTAGTCACACGAACCTGGAGAACCATGCAGAACATGCAGCCAATGAACTTCCGATTTTCTACATGGTATCCAATTTACCACCCCGAGCTATTAGTGGGGGAGGCGCTGGTGAAAGATACTAACAGTATCAAAAGTTGGGGAGCCCATCAAAGTGAGTGCCTTCTTTTCCTTTCGTGGGCATCTCTTCGGCCGAGCTTGGCTTACATCATCAACCAAAGGAGGGTTTCATAATCACCACTGGCGACTGCTCCTTGGCATGGCTCGCTAAAGGGGGGAGTGGAGATTTTACAACCCGGAGAGTCCAGGAAGCAGATTAATGAGGATGAGTGAAGGGCTCAACATAGCAAGGTCGGGAGCGATAAATGGATCGGGATTCATGAGGTAAAGGGAGTGCATGTACAGCACATGTATACGCATGCACATGTGCTGCTGCATCGTTTTACGTTCCCAAGAATGCTTAGAAGCGCCAAGAGCTTCCTACCAATATGAAGGCTCAGCGCCCACAGTCCTGGCGGTCTCGAACCTCCCCACGACAGCGCATGAAACACGACTCAAACCATCCCAGCCGTTGCGTTCCACATGTCATACACCCCCCACACACTGGCGGCCATGCTCAATGCCCCAACCATTCTATCCGGCACTCCCACCCCATCCTCAAAGCTCCAATGCACACACAGAGGCAACCAAGCCAGGCTATTCACAAGACTCTTCTTCCACCTCCTTTCCCTCTCCCTCTGTCGTTCCCTCTGCCGTTCCAATTCTAGATCCAGTTCACTTCCTCCATCCCCACCCCCTTCCCCTTCTCTTTCCCCCATGCCCGTGCCCGTGCCCGTGCCCGTGCCCATGCCCATGCCCATCTCCCCCCTCCCCTCCCGGCCCGCCAACACATACTCCCTCCACACCCTCACGAACTCTAACAGCACATGCCCCAACCACGCCCGCGTGCTCCACGCATACCACCTGCCCACAGACCCCCACCGCTCCACCGCCCGCCGGCTCACCACCCCCTTCGCCGCCAGGTGTGCCACATTCTCCAGCACCTGGTACACCACGTTGGCACCTATCTGCGCGTACGCGATCGTGCAGAGCACAGGGTCAGCGGGCGGTGCCGTCAGGGTTTCCGAGCCCCAGGACCAGAGCGAGAGGAGGCCGAGGAGGCGGATCGTTGTGCGCGTTTCGGAAATCAAGGAGGAGAGGGCGAGGAGGCGTGGCTGTTTTGGTTGTGGTGGTGGTGGTCGTGGTGGTGGTGGTCGTGGTGGCGGTGGTGATGATGGTGATGATGGCGATGATGAACGGAGGAGGATGGAGCGCAAGCGCGTGATGATGGAGCGGAGTGGTGGCGAGCGGAGGAGGTAGTACAGGATTTCCGAGTTATATTGGATCAATGCGAGGAGCCGTTCTTGGCCGGATGCGGTGGAGATGAGCCTTTTATATATAATATATAGAAAAAGAATTAATTTTCGCTTGTTCTGGGACGTCGGGTGATTTGTTGGTCGTGTCCCCCCCTCCTCCCTCCTCCCTCCTCTGTAGACATGTATCCTGCTCTCTCCCCTTCTCCTCCCCCCCCCTTCCAGGAGACGAACCAGTCGATAGACTTCGCAGTAGCATAAGAGAACTTACCGGTCTAACCGCCGAATCATCACATCTGACTTTCCAAGAGCGCGCTTGGGTGCCAAACACTGCCATCTCATTTTCGGTAGCGGGCTGTTTGCGGAGCTGCCTGTGTTGTTCTTCGACTCGGACTCGGTTTTCTCTGGAGGCGCTTGCTTTGCTGGAGGCGCCGCGGTCTCCTCCGGTCGCGCGGTCGTTTCCGACAACTCTGCCATCGTGATTGTTATTTTTTTTTAAATTATTTTTATTTTTAATTTTTATTCTTTTTCACTAACACTCAGATGACAAGTTGAGGCATGGTAAGGAGTAGAAAGAAATCGGGGGCTGCTAAGAATAAAAATTATCAGAGGGCGGTTGTCGTCATCTGATGGCGCGTAGTGTGCCGAGGTAACTAAAGAATATATTCCACATGACCCGGGCGCGCTAGTAAGGTATGTAGATCTCAGGGGCTGGAGCTGCTGAACGAAGTAAAAACGCCTCTGTCTCTTGAGGTATTTTAGTCAATTGGCAGCTCTCGGTCGGATGATGAATTCTATTATTAGACGGGGATGCTTCGAGGTAATCTACCCTGCTGCCACTCTCACAAGAATCATACACACTCGTAATGAAGAAATTGATGAGAGTGAAAAAGTGGAAACCGGAATAATAATCAGTAATCAATAGCGGAACTGAATAGCCCCCGCCATATGTAGAGTACAATATCCGTCATATCCCGTTAACTCGCTGCTGATATAAAATTGGCAGTTCTATTATATACCCTTGCTCCTTCCTATAATGGGGTTGTAATTTATGTTTCCGCAATAGCATCTTCCCTATCCGCCGAATCTATCAGCCTGTCCAACGAACTCAAGATCGGCTCGGCTTCGATCATCATCAATCTCGCGCTTTTCATGGCGCCGAACAGACGAACCATTTTTAACCCTTCGTGGAAAATCAAGTCGCGCGGTCCCGGTCTTCTGTGGTCGGGTATTCTCTGATGTCCTCCGCTGCTCTATCTGGAATTCCATTCCCATATCGCGTCCCCGGTGGTGGCGGTGAGTGTTCTTCTTTCTCGGCCCTGTAGCCTCCTTTGCATGAGTTCTATGAAAATGTAACAGCTCTTTTAAACTTTTCCTTGGCCTAGGCGTTTTATTGATTGGCTCCCTCTCAACAATGACATCAGGTGCAGTTATTTCACCTTCTTCCAAATCCGCAGGGCAGGCATCGTTAGCACCGTCGTCCACCGTGCCAGCATTGCCCATTGCGTTGCTATCAGCTGCTTCATTCCCGGCCGCCCTGATGAGCGCGTCTGCTATGTCAAAGCATAGCGAACTGGCTGGCGTTGGCACTTTGCGAAACTCTCGGCTCGCGCAGGCGTCGTTTATGTTGATAGCGATAGCCGCCAGGGTCTCCAGCAGTCTATCGTCCGTCATGTAGTCGTCTGTGCAGATGCAGTTGAGGCTCTGCCAGCTACGCTCCGTAGCTGTCGGCATGCAGCCTGGGCAGACGCGCAGACGACAAGATGGGATAGTGACGTTTCCAAGCTCACTGTGGCAGGCTGGAAGCAATGTGCTAGAAGGTACTTTCACATAGGGATTTGCCGGCGTGGGTTCCGAGTCCTCTGGGTCTTGGGTGGATAAGCGCGATTGGGTTTCAGGGCTGAGAGGATCGCGTCTCGTGCGATAATCCGCTTTGATAGTTTCCAGAACAACTGTTCGCTGGGCTTTGACCAATTCCACCTGCTTGGGAGTGTAATGTCTGTGCTTGATGGCGTGCTCGATACTGGCGTTCAACTGCACCGCATTGCTTGACTGGAGACTGGTGGAGAGTTGTGTAAAGCCTAATTGTTGTGATTCTTGGTACGGGTATTTGTCTCTTGCATCCAGCCTCGCCTGGTCCTCTGTGCAAGCATATACCCAACCAAGATCTGGTCCTCTCTTGCACATCTGACACGTTGCCAAACAGCCATGGCTGCTAAACTCACGCGTAAAGCTGGAGTGGGTGCAATGTGTTTGACGAGTATTCAGGGTTGTTGTTCTTTCTTGGGAGGAGGGTTTTGCAGGAGCTTGAGAACCCATATTTTCTTTTTAGTTTTTTTTTTGCTTCAACTAAATCTAACTGGTCATGAAGCGGGTCGAGAGAGAATGTATCGAGCCCTGGAATTTAGAAATTTCAAATATTGCAAACGACAAAAAGGGTGATGGAGTAGGCTGTTTTATTGAATGAATGCGTTGCCTAGAGACCACTCCATATATCTATTTCCTTTCCGCCTCGCTTTTGGGCTTGTGAAAGCATTCAAGAGAGCGATGAGAGGTTGCAGGAGGAAAAAAACAAATGAGCAGAGAGATTTGTTCTAAGAAGCGCCGGTACCCATGGGACACGAGTGCATGTACGGCAGCGGTTGGATTTGGGTGGTGCTGGTGAGGTGGGATAGATATCGGTCCATCAGATCTGTCTCTCTCCCTCTCCAGGCTCCCTCATGGCGGGTGAGGCTCAACAACAGCAGGCGGCCTCTATCCTCTCTCCTGGTTGTTGTACACAAACCCAACCACAACCATATCCCGAGAAACGAACAATAATAAGCCAACAGGCTATCAACTTCTGTTGGGAAGGCAGTTCTACTACATTCATTCACACATGCGAAGAAGGAAATGGGGGAACAAAGAGAGTAATAAGAATCGAATATGTGTACGTTTCATAGTATTCAAAGAGACAAGGCGCGGCTTTTATTTGGCGGGCAGGGGAAGGGATGCCAAAATTGGTATTGCATAGGCTAACCCTAAGTTCATGCGTAGTTAAAATAGCAAATGCAATCGAAGCTTTGTTCGAACACTCTCACTAATTCCGGGTATATGCAGATCCATAGTGCTATACAAAGCCATGGAGCGGAACTCGAGGGGCGATTCCTTTGGAAGGGCAGAGCATTTAAAGAGAGGGTATGATAAAGCGCGACATTGATAAAATAAGAATCTTCATCCCACAACTGTGCGAAAATAAAGGGGAAGCATCTTGGGTTTGAAACTGCGACTGTAGCGGGAATCTCGTTGCTTTTTCTATTAGCGTTATCCTGTGACGGATGAGGTTCCCAGACGCCCAAAGCCAAGCGAGATAAAGCCCAACATCTCGTTGAAATCTGCATGAGCTCAAGGTGACGCGAAGATCACACGTGTTGTCGGAGAGAAGCTAGAAGGAAGCTTCTACGCGGAAAAATGCCACCTAAGCAAAGACGCCTAGCTGTGAAAAGCAAAATAAGGAGGCGAGCTGGCTGGCGCTTATATGCTCGGCCCAGAACCAACATTCGGAGTAAGCCAGCACTTCTATTGTGTTTTTTGAGAAGCATCCGTTGATGTTACTCTACGTGATCAAATAGCATCAGCCTGCTTTCCCACAGGATTTGAATCGGCTGGTTGCTTTAATTGCAAACTAGACACCGGCGTACTAGACACCGGCGTTTTCACTATTTCCTAGCGCTCTTGATCGATTCACCTGGATGAAATAGAAAGGCTTAAGTCTTACTTCTCTGTTAGGTACCTTAGTGTTTCGCTGAAGGGTATGAGATGGCCAAGAGTTTTTATAGCTTCCCTAAAGCTCTGATAGACCGGATAATGAAAGGTATCTTGCGGTTTCACTAATTCCTGCGCTGGTGTTCCTCGCCAACACACCCACACAGGCGCAATGACTCTGTTGTATACGAATTACTCATTAAACCAAAGGTCATCTAGAACTTGCCTCGCTGACGCTCTTGCAGAGGGCTCAAAATACAATTAACCTTCCAATGATTTGTCCCAGGCTCAAGATATCCTCTCTTGTGAGATGGGCGCTCTCAAGGTACACCTCTTCCAGCCATTCCTGCAAACTGGATCTGGTTTATTGGTCATATCACCTCCTGTGGCCACGTCGCCCACTGGCGTTATCAACAAGGTGTCAAATGGCGGTTGACCTACGAAGAGCTCAAAGAGCTGTCGTCAGTTTACTGTTCTATATAGTCACTGTGTTTAGATTTGGAACGATTTTACCCACCATGCATCCCATGCTCCACAAGTCAGCCCGATAGTCACTGCAATCCTGAAATACAACCTCAGGAGCTCGAACAGATAAGGGTGTACGTAGTGTTTGAGGAATGATAGTGGGCAAAAAGGATTCTCCGAAGTCAGCTAATTTGATAGTGTGCGCTGAATTCCACAAACATTTTCTGATATAGGGTTGGCTTCACAATATACGCAGATCCTTTTCATCATTTCTTTGAACATAGCTCATCTCCGGTTCACCTAACATCTGTGTAAACTCCTTTTTGATCAAATTATTCAGGTTGGACAAAATGAAAGCTATGTTGGGGGTATGGAGATCTATATCAGATGAGAATTGCTAGAGGATCTCCATGAGAGTAATCTATCTCCATACCCAATATTCTGTTGATGCAAATCATTCAACCTAAGCAAACATTGCTTTACAATTATCTTGACAAGCACCCCGGGGAGTCTCCCACTTGGAAAGTGTGCATCAATTATGTCCGGAATATTGGGCACAAGAGGTTCGTAAACCAGACATTGATGAATCCATTGGGACCTGTTATGATAAAGTGATCCAGCATTTGTATGACACATTTCCAACAAGAGTTGTGGGATGACATCTTCATGATCTGAAGCTCTCCTTCAGCCACACAGATCTTTATCGTAACATAAGTATCTTCCCTGCAAATGGGAGACTCTTCGGTTAGTTAGCTAGTACTTCATGAGCCATCAATTTGGTACAACCTTTGATCTCTCGCCGCCCAAACGGCTGAGTAGCCGCCCCGTTCTAATTTATGGAGCACCGTATACCTCCCTGCCATCAGCTATTCTCCCAGGGTGACAGGGTGGTAGCCACCTGGTTGGTAGCGATGGATTGGCTCCGCGTCCATGGTTGAAATGTATATTGGCAGGTTCATTTGACTCTTGTCTGCATAGGTGAACACATGCTCGGAGACAATGCAAAGCTGTGAGATGAACCTCAAACGGGACCTTCTGTCGGGATATTATCCAGGCAGTGACCATTAGATTCAAAAGTGTTGTCTAGTTATTAATGCAAGGCAAAGAGATAACTAGGGGTTAACAAACCAGCAGATGACTAAAGTATCCAGAGAATGGTTGCATGGAACACGAGATGTTAGAATTGATAGTTTATGCTTTCGTCTCTCTGAGGAATTGATATGTTTCCAGGTACCTTATGCTTGTTTTTAGATCTCTATTCTGTTGGACCTTGCTACCTCACACAGTAATTAATTACCTAACATCATGAAAGAGACTCCACAAATAGAGAGACATGCACACGATAGTTGCTAGATGGTCCCCCGGATTACTCCAGAACGCCGATGAGTCTAATTAAGGGTGTGTATACGGAGGGCGCTATCAAAAGAATTGCGCCGCTCAGATTCAATTTATACAACTAAGAAGCACCACAACATTTTAATGAGTAATTACATTTAGCTTCAAATGACCCCACATTCTATTTATATGAGAATGCCACATATTCTGAATTGATTCCTCTTTTTTCTCAAATATCTCATCTCTAATATTTCATCTGCTGATTCATATGGCATCCAATACTGATATTGCCACAAGAGCTCTTGTGGTGGCTTTTAAATCACCCTATTTTGACAAGTCAAATGCTGAAATCACAGAAATCACCCAGATCTCAAAGAGTCAAATCAACTGTATATATAAATGTGCAATTGAACACAGATTTGATTCTGAACTGTCTCATATTATACTTCATAATGAATGGCTTTGAGATGCCCCCAAATCTGGCTGACCAACTCAGAGAAATGATAGTATTAAGGACACTATTCTTGCAAAGGTTTGATGTGATCAATATGGATGAGAAAAGACATGTACTGATCTTGCCAATGAATTCAGTAATGAAGGAATTGAGATATCTTCTATGACTATATGAAGGATTCTTTGCAAAGCAGACCTGTGAAAAACAAAGCCTACACAGAAGCCAGAACTCACCAAGAAGATGTGACTAGATTGACTTCAATTCTGTCTGAAGCATAAAGATTGGATCTTGGAGGATTGAAAGAATGTTATCTGGTCAGATGAAACCTCTGTTATTCTTCTTCATCAATGAGATGAATATAGAATATGGTGTGCATCTCATGAGATCTATTCTTGAAGCTGTATATGTGAATGATGAAAGAGATCATCTGAATTCATGTTCTGAGCCTGCTTCTCATACAATAAGAAGAACCCATTTCATTGTTGGGCCAGAGAAACCTTGCAGGAGTGTGCTCAATTCCTTGAGTATATTGAGACTTTAAATGCTGAAATGGAACCTATAAAGAGGCAAGAATGGGAGCTGTCAAATGACATTCAAAGATTACAGATTGATTGTCAGCAATCAGGTCAAAAATCAATATGAAAGTTCAAACAGACCACAGGCAAGCTATCTCATGACAAAGATGGTGGAATTGATTGGTATTGCTATCAAGTTCAAATTCTCTTACCAAAGCTATTTCCCTTTGCAAAAGAGTGTCAAATCAATCATCCAAATACTATTGTGCAAGAGGATAAGGCCCCTTCACACAATCACTATATCCAACATTATATGTACAATATTCATGGGATTCAACAGCTGCTTTGGTGTGGGAATTCACCTGATCTCAATGCAATTGAGGCAGCTTGGCTCTGGATGAAGTGTAGAACAACAAGAAAAGGAGCTTCTAAGAACTGTACAGAAGCTGTTAGAGTATGGGAGCAGGCATGGAAGAATCTGCCACAAGAGAAGATACAGACATGGATTGAGCAGATTCCTGTACATATTGAAAAGATTATAGAGTTAGAAGGTGGCAATGAGTATAGAGAAGGAAGACAGCATGGGCAGGTGGAGGAATAGGATACTCATCTGGTTGGCAGATTGGCACGCAGGTTGGCAGGCAGATTGGCACGCAGGTTGGCAGGCAGATTGGCAGGCAGATTCCATGTTGAATAGCAGCAGAGACAAGGAATAATCAAGAGCTGAGTATTCAGTATAAAATACAGTGTGAATTTCTGCCAAGATTTGTGGCGCTGTCTAGTTGTCTTTTTGCCGGCGCAATTCTTTTGATAGCGCCCTCCGTACCGCCATCATTTTTATTAACTTGGGTTGTTGTTGTTCTTCATATTTTTTCTCAGGCTACATGCAGTCAGAGTCTGATAGCCTACACCTCACTAGCCTACCCTTATGTTCAGCTACTCTCGAGTTACATTTCTCTACGGCGTACGGCGTATTCATAACCGAGTCATTGATGGAAGGCCTTGCCCCACAATTGCTCTTATGTCCGACATGTAAGGATCACAACATCTGAGATTCCCACACTATTATCAACTTGGGTAAAGCTATGATCTCTTTGAGAGCTCGCCGTTCGCTTTGTCTCTGTCGATTTTCCCGTGTCTCCTTGAGATTGCTAAACCCGGGGCATGCCAGGAGAACATGTTTTTCTGGCCGATTTTTCCGTCATATAGTGGTTCTTTTGTACCTGAAAACAGACGCTAGGCTAGCCCAGGCTGACTAAGGGTTTTGCTGATGCCGACCTCGGCAAGGGAACAGCGTAAACAAACACGCCGACGACAACTCTCCAGCCTCCTTTGCGTCCTTATCCCCACGACCTCAGCCGCAAGCTGCCCTTCAGCGCCATCAACCTTTGCATTCTTATTCTCGATTTCGCGTCTCCCTCCTTTCCCTCTCTGCTCCTTCAAATCATTTGAGCTTGCTCACGCCCAGCTAGGCCTATCTATCAATCATCTTCAGGACGAATAAAAAATGTCTGTTAAATTCGATAAGGTGGTCACTCATACGACGGAGATTGTGAAAGATAAAGTGAAGGATGATTTGCACAGAGTGGGAAACAGGCTGACGGGAGGGAAGTCAACGACTGGATACCTGGCGGTATGTTGCGCTTTTTGGTCGCGAATTGAACAGCGGCATTCCCAGACACGATGGTGGACTCTTAAGAACTGACAATGCGACAACTACCTTTCTGCTATTATCTGCTACAGGCATACCTGCAGCAACTCCAATCCAATCCTCTGCGAACTAAGATGCTCACATCTGGAACCTTATTCGCGCTTCAAGAGTTCCTGGCTTCGTGGATCGCGCATGATCGCAGCAAGCATGGCCACTACCTAAACTCTAGAATACCCAAGATGGCGCTGTACGGCTCGTTCATCGGCGCTCCCCTAGGCCATGTCCTCATTAGCATCCTCCAAAAGCTGTTCTCCGGCCGCACCAGCTTGAAAGCTAAGATCTTGCAGATTCTCGTCAGCAACCTGATCGTACGTTCATAGACATCTTCACGACTCAAAACCGCTCTGCCTGCTTCATCTAACCAACCCCCTTTCGCCCTTCAATAGATCTCCCCGATCCAAAATTGCGTTTACCTCGCTTCTATGGCGATCATCGCTGGTGCGCGAACATTCCACCAAGTTAAGGCCACTGTGAAGGCTGGCTTCATGCCCGTCATGAAAGTCAGCTGGGTCACCTCCCCGCTATCCCTGGCATTTGCCCAGAAATTCCTTCCGCCACACACCTGGGTTCCCTTCTTCAACATCATCGGTTTCGTCATCGGTACATATATCAATGCCCATACCAAGAAGAAGAGACTGGAGGCTTTGAGACGTAAGGTATGTTGATGGCACTACACTATACATTCCATGAAACAGCACATTCTACATCTTCCCAATCATTCTTCTTGTGCTAACAATTTACCACTTCTGTTTTGCGTTTTGCCTTGCTCTTAGCATTACGGATCTGGGAAAAGTGCATCGGGCCGGTCCGATGACTACCCACCAAGACATGATTGAATACCTGAATACGAGAACTACGGCTGCGATAGCTATTCAAATAGGTCTCTCTATCTACATCTATTTGAGTTCTCGCCCATTAGGCTTATTTCTTCGGTTTCTTCTCGACCGCGGATGTTGATGTGAATGAACCATATTTTGACAGGGAATGCGGATGGGTTTTCTTTTCTTTTTCTTTCCTTTCCCTTCCTTCCCTTCTTCTTGGAGCATAATAGCTTGGCCCCAGATACTTGAGAGCAGTTTTTTTATCTTCTGGATAGAAGAAGAGGGAGAATGGAGAAGGCCCCTGGTACCCCTCTGAAAGTTAATGAAATTTTATATATATACCACATGATTATTTTAGTGTGTACAGTCTCTACTCCATGCACTCACCTATGCTCGGGGGTTTTTTTTTCTGTGCTGAATATTTGTCTAATCGTCTCAACCACACTTATTGTCACCGTTTCTATTATTTATTTTATTTTTGCTTTGTTGTCTCCCTGCTTCTGTTAGAAATATTGCTATATATCCTCTGACAAATTTTCATGAGATACTGTTGTGTTTTTTTGATGTTTGCAATGAACAACCCCACCCCGCCAACCCCTCACAGGAAACATCGATAATGTGCATCTAGCTAGATTTACAGATTTTTGGTAGGGAACCTAGTTGGAACTAGAGGTTTCTTAGAAACAATAGTAAAAATAGATAGTTATGGGTCATTGACAAATATTTATGTTAAGCTTTTGGCGGATATAGCAAGCAATGCCTAATAAGACCTGGCAGCGAGTTGATAGCGCGAAGCTGATCAATTCCGCTTCCCTTTCAACCTGAAATTCGAATGATAAGGGGCTAGCAAAGTCGCAACCATGCGAAAGCTACACCCCCACCAGGTTCAAGTTGGAAAAAAAAAAAAAAAAGGAGAAGCACGCTATAAGTCAATGAGATCCATATAGTTTATGTTTATCTAAAGAGTATGACAAAAACGACAACCCTCCCTACTCAAGCATCGATGCCTGATTAGTGTACAAAACATCCACGACATCCCCAAGCTTTTCCAACGTCTCCAGCGCAGCATCATACCCTTGATCCCTCTCCGCCTCATCGAAAACAATCAGACACCCAGCACCCTGATCCAGCACGCCGATAATCACCTTATCCAGGATCATCTGCGACAGCTTCCTCTCCACCTGCTGCGTATCCAGCCCAACCATCTTGGCAATATGATCTATTTCCACCCGGCTAAAAGGCTCGATGACTTTGATCAGGTTCTGCTCCAACATGGCATCGTAAAGGCGGCGGAGGTGGTTGCGGATGAAGACGTCGCTGCCTAGTTCAAATCGGTAGTCATTGAGCGCTTTCTCATACTCTTCCAGAGAGCGGTTGGAGTGCGCACGCGCGACGGCCTTCATGGCTTCAAGGTTTGTCCCCGCATATCGAATCGCTTGTTTGGAGGCGAGTAACGAGTTGACGTCGTGGACGGCGTTGAGCATTATTTTGCACAGGAGCATGTATTGGAGCGCCGACGTGGCTTTGCTGGTTTCGTCTTGCAAATGATAACCTTCCAGCGCCTCGATGAAATAGGAGAAAGCGGTGGTGAAGTCTCTATCTTCCGCGTGGAGCATGCCGCTCTGCATGTCTAGACCTGCTTGCAGAAGTGGTGGTGTGTAGACGGATGCGGCTGATGTCCTGGCTGAGGTCAATGCGGCGCGGGCTTTTGGCTGGTTGCCCAGGGCGTGGTAAACGCGGGACTCCAGAAGCTGCACTTCCACGAGCACGAGTTTATCATCGAGCCGTTTGAGTTCGCGGAGAAGGGAGTTGATTAAGGTGAGAGCGTCGTAGTAAGAATGCTTTTGCATATATATAGTCACAAGGCGTGTCTCGAGATTCTGGCGGAGGAAGGACCGCCGTTCTGATACTGCCCATTCTATACACGACTTGATGACTTGGACCTGAATGTCAAGGGTGTTGGGAATAGCTGCGAAAAAGTCGAGGAGTTGTCGGACTAGAAATTATGTGTAAACAGAGTGCAATCCACGCACAACGTAACCAGAATCTCCCCATCTCCCTCTCCCTCCCCTAGTCACCTGTAAATTACGTACCTAGTTTCGCCGATTTCGCTTTGGCGAAAGATGAGAAAGCTGATCGGCCAGTTTTAAGTAACTCTGCCAGCTCCGTTGGTTTGTTCTGGTCCCGGTACAGCTCCCCCAGCCCCACGAGAGCGGTTTCGTAATCGCGTAAAGAAGCGTCGGTAGATCCCACGCCCTTCAATAGGATTTTCTGGTACAACGACTCTGCCTTGGCCGGATCTGTCTTGACGAGGGCCTTGGCTTCTACCAACAGGCCTGCGTCATTTGGGCCGGCAGCCATTCTGGAGGAATATAGGTCGTGAACGGCTCACAAATATGAAGGATATACAGGGGGGATGCAGCCGTTGCACAGGCAGAAAAACGGGCCGAAATTACAGAGGTTGTGGGGAGGTTGACTGGGTGCTGCGGAGTCGATGTCACGATGTCGATGCTGTGGTTGAAGCTTGGACTAACAGCTGGTGCATGTATCGGGCAATATATGGCGCTGCTTTAAAGCTCTTGTGATGATTATGTCAATCCTTGAGTCTTGTCGGTCCGACATTGTTCCTGGGAGCCCAAAAAGATTTCTTCTCTATCGATGAAGTCAAGAAAGTACCTACCTGGCTTGTAGCACATAATGGTAAGTAAAAAATTGAAGGGGGCGTTTATTTCTTAGCTCATGCTAATTCCGTGTCAGAAAATCAAATCTCTTTCCAGATCTGCTGCAACACTGCAGGAGCCAGGTTCGAATACCTCCAAGCTCCCTCGAAACCTTGATCCCGCACAACATCCTTTTGAGAGGGCGCGGGAATATACAAGGGCCCTCAATGCCACAAAGCTCGAGCGCATGTTTGCTGCACCTTTTGTGGCTCAGCTAGGCAATGGGCATGTCGATGGCGTATATTGTTTGGCAAAGGATCCAGTGTCGCTAGAACGGTTGGCCAGCGGAAGTGGTGATGGAGTTGTCAAGGTCTGGGACCTGGCTACACGGGATGAGATATGGCATGCTCCAGCACACGAAAATATCGTCAAGGGCATGTGCTGGACGTCAGATAGAAAACTGCTTTCATGCGCAGCTGACAAAACAATAAAACTATTCGACCCCTACGGTTCAGCATCTGAGACCCCTCCGCTCGCAACGTATTTTGGACAATCGGCATTCACCGGTGTTTCTCATCATGAAAGCCACCCCTCATTTGCCGCATCTTCGTCCGTAATATCCGTGTACGATTTATCTCGACCGTCCTCCACTCCCGCTCAGACCCTCCACTGGCCTACGAGCACCGACACAATCACCTCCCTCGCCTTCAACCGGACAGAAACATCCATTCTCGGCTCCACAGCCACTGACCGGTCGATCGTATTGTATGATCTCCGCACGTCATCCCCAGTTACGAAAGTGATCCTCACTCTTGCATCAAATGCCATATCCTGGAACCCGATGGAAGCGTTCAATTTTGCCGTTGCAAATGAAGACCATAACATATATATATTTGATATGAGGAAATTGGACCGCGTACTGAACGTGCTGAAAGACCATGTTGCGGCTGTCATGGATGTCGAGTTTAGCCCGACGGGAGAAGGCTTAGTTAGTGCTTCATACGACCGCACTGTACGATTATGGGACCGGAGCAAGGGGCATTCGAGGGATATATACCATACGAAACGGATGCAAAGGTGAGCTATATATGTAAGCAATAAGGTTGTCCCATCGACACTGACGTGTGATGATAGAGTATTCTCCGCAAAATTCACACCAGATAACAAGTACATCCTCTCCGGCTCGGACGACGGCAACATCCGTCTCTGGCGCGCAGAGGCATCTTCGCGGAGCGGCATCAAAACTGCACGGGAGAGACAGAAACTTGCGTATGACGAGGCGCTTAAGCAGCGGTATGCGCATATGCCTGAGATACGCCGCATCACGCGCCACCGCCACCTCCCCAAAGCTATAAAGAAGGCTGGCGAGATTAAAGCTGAAGAGATTGCTGCAATTAAGCGGAGAGAGGAGAATCTACGCAAGCATACTAAGAAGAAGGGCACGATGCCGAGGCAAAGCGAGAGAGAGAAGATGATTTTGGCTAAGGAACAATAAATCGCATCAATTCCTGCAGGAGAGCACGGAAAGCGGCAGTTGGTGGTTGGTTATTTCGTGTCTCGACGTACCAATAGCCAGGTCTTATATGACGATACGATGATTATCTATAATACGGTGATACCTTCATTGGAGGACAGATGGCCATTAGCGCAGTGTTGCCGCGTAGAACTCCGCATAGAAAGACGGCGGGGGAAAGGGGGGATATAATGTTCATGATTCGAAGACCAAAATTTGCTCACCAGGAGCAAATTGACATTATTATCAATGTTTATCCCGCAAACTCTACACGCATATATAGATACAACTCTTTCCCCAGGGGCCATGCAGCACACCCATTCTGAACCCCATCCAATTCTACCTCACTATCCACACTTTTCCAAAACGACCCCTTTTTATCCTTTTGTCTCCTTCTCCTTCTCCGATAGGACCGACATAGATGATGTTATGGCCTTTTCGCCCACCGCTTTATCAATTCCACTCAAATACCTCGCCAGCCGCTGAATAGCCACAGGGAGCACCGCATACCAATTTACCAGCGTCGCATAAGCTGGCAACCTAATAACCCCACCGTTCCCACTATCCACCGTCGCGACAATCTCCCGCGCAACCTGCACAGGTTCCAGGACAGGGGCAAAGAAATTATTGGGAGTCTTCACATCCTCAAAGAGAGGCGTGGCCATCTGGCCCGTCTCAACTAGGAGCATTTTCACCCGCTCGTAGTCGCCTGTGACGCGCAGCTCAGCCTCCACGGTCTTGTGCACGGCACCGATGGCTGCCTTCGTGGCTGTGTAGTCCGAGAGGCCAGCTGGGGTAAGGCTGCTACAGACGGAACTCAGAGTGACGATTGTACCGCCGGTTGGAGAAGACAGTATTCCGGGGAGGAATTGCTGGAGGGTGTTGAAGTAGGAGAGTAGATTTGCGTGAATGGTGGAGGAGATGGCGGCGGGGGAAAGGGATGTTATCGGCGCGCCGTTGATGGGGGCAGCGATGCAGTTTATGAGAATCGTCGGCGTTCCAAGCTGGTAGATAAAATTAGCACGGGTCAAAATATATATATAAATGAAACGAATGCATGGGCGGTGAGGTATTCAACACAAAGCAACAATTGAACAAGAGTTCCCAGGCGGTTTTGGTAATAATGAAAACGTACCTCCTTCTCAATCCTTTCCCGAACCCTCTCCACCTCCACCAAATTACCCACATCACACTTAAAATACCTAACGCTGTGAATCTCCTCCCACTCTTCCACTGCCTTCTCGCTCCCATCCCCTTGATCCTCCGTCCCAATATCCCGCACATCCAACACCGCCACATCCACCCCCCTCATCCCGTAGATCTCCGCAACCAACAGGCCCAACCCACTCGCACCCCCCGTCACAACCACAACCTCATCCTCCAACGACACTTCCCTCGGCGGCCCATATGTGAGACGCTTACTCACCACATTCAGCAGCAGCAGCAGCGACAGGAGTGTGGCATAAGCCGTTGTCACTCTGAAGGATGTGTGAGAGTACGGAGTTGCTTGGGCACGGAGGCAGAGGGGGATGAGCCAGGCTATGAAAGGGTGGAAGATCGATCTGTGCAGGACGCGGAGGATGAGGTCGAGAGTGAGACTATGGATCCAGTGTGGGTGCGGGTGGGGAATGCGCGGCGGAGAGGGGGATTTGGAGGGGCGCTGGTTCATGGTTGGCAAGGCGAAGAGAGGCGGGTTGTTTTTGTAGGAGCTGGAGACTCCAATTTGTGGTTGTGAGATTGGGATTTTTTGGGTCTGAATTGGCGATGAGGAGGTTAGGGTGATACAACACCACCTAGATCGCGAAGATGCTAGGGAAACTTAAGAGAAAAGAACGGGAAAGAAAATCAGGCGGGAAGACTTGTAATTACACGTAGATGTCTCCCCGATACGTGAAATGTGTCCTCGCATATCTCTGAGGCTGGTGGTTGAAGCTCCAGAAAATATTCTGACGCCGATTGAGTTTCAGAATGACATCATCAATGCTTGGGTAGTTACAGGCAGTTAAGGTAATGAATGATATTGTACTAGACTCCTCCGAACATCAATTATTGATAAAATGACCTTTGGTTAAAAAGGAGGAGAAAAACAAGAATGTAATGAGGAATCATGCAGAGAGAGAGGAGAAGAATCAGATTTCATATACTCTAACAGTTCCTTATCCTTTATCTAGGGAGAGCTAACTATTCACAAAAAAACCTGCAATTACAGAGCTGCATCTCGTTGCATCCATCCATCCATCCATCCATTCCTGGAAACGAAATAAAAAGAGAAAGCACAAAATCCTGCAATAAGCGCCATTGAGCTATTTAAGGAAAGGTCAGAGAAAATCGAAAAACACCTCAGCAACAAAGGGGAATTTCCGGTAGTTCAATCAGCCAAACACCCTCCATCGCCAACCACGCCCAACCAAAGGCCATGAAACGAAAACAAAGAAAAACGATGCGGAAAGAATAAAGGGGAAAAGTGGAAGCAAAAACAAATAAAAGCAAAAAGCAAAAATCTTCCTCCAATTTCAATCCCTCTACATCACACCTCCCCCACCTCCTGTCGCCATCCTCGCGAAATCCTTCGGCACCTCCCACCCATGCATCCGACACGCCCGGATATACGCCTCCACCGCCTCCCCAACCCCGTAATCCCTCACAGTCCCTTTACTGACGCTCTGCCCACGAACCAGACGCGCTGGTTGCGGCTCCGTACTCGAAATCGCCATGCGCACCTGTAACAGCACGCTCTCGATACTCGACGCCGCTGACCAGCCCGAATTGGTCAGAAGTTCCATGCACAGGGCGCCACCGGCGGTGACATGGCCGCCGCCGCCGGCTAGGAAGCTGAGAAAGCGTGGGCGGATGACACGCACGAAGGGCGGGGAGATGGGGTATTCGCTTGGGAAGCGGAGTTCGAGCACGACGGATTTGAGACCGGCTTGCTTGAGGTCTGTGGCGAGCGGGAGCGAAGGGTCGAAGGAGTGCAGTTCGACGATCCATTGGTAGATTGTGCTGGTTATGCTCGGGTCGACATACCAACCCAGTTCGTGGAGGGGGTGGGTGTCTTGAGTTTGAAGCGTGGTTTTGAAATCGCGTAGGAGGGCTTTAGTGCTCCATGGTGTTGCTGTTTTTGGTTGGTCGAAGAGCGGAAGTTTAGCTGCGACAAGAGTGCCGGGGACAAAGTCGGTTTTCGGGGCGGAGGAGTAGATGGTTGTGGCTGTGGTGGGTGTGTCGCGGACTGGAGCTTTACCTTTGTCGTTGCCTTTACTGTTATTGCTGTTGCCCTGTTTGTGGGACCGGTTCTGAGGGTTTTCAAGAAGTATGAGGATATCTTCGTCATCAGTGTCTTCACTGATATAGCCATCTGACGTGGATGGGTCTTCCCTGGCATCTGAGGTCTTTGCCGAAGTACTTGGGGAAAATTTGTCGAATTTTGATATTCCGGCTGACACACGTCGAAAAATGGAAGAGCCATCACCGAAGATCTGAAGTGCTTCCTTCGTGGTTTGCTGTTGCGTATCAGCAGAACTCTTAATTGCTAGCGGAGTAGCATTGATGTCCCCAGCATTTGCTTGCTGGACCTTAGGGGTACTCCCACCAATACGGCGCTTTTGGCTAATCGCCGTTACGGGGATTCGAATCGGATTTCCATTTGGCCCTTGGGCAGTATATCCAGGGTCTTGCAGATGGCAGGCAGACGAGATATGCTCTTTCATGGGATCTTTTGTGCAGACTTCGACAGACTGACAGCTAACAAACAGATAGCGCGTTTGTATCCAGTCCAGCTGCGCTACGACAAGATGGGGTGACTTGCTCACGAATTCGTTGGGTGCATTGACGACTTCGTTCAGGGATATTGCTGATTGGATTTTCAACCGGCTCTGTGGCCATGCTACTTGACAGCCTCTCATGTAAGAGGACGATGTTCTGAAAAAGGAGCTCATATATACGCCATCCCCAAACGCACGGCCGTTAAGTGTTTCTCGGAAATGCAAACCCTCGCGTAAGATGCCGTGCCAGTTTGAAATATGACTTCCATGCCAGGCAAAAATAGTCGGGTACTTGAGGTTTAGTCTTGAGGTTGCGGCATCGACTGCCTGAATGAATCGCTGTTCCTTGTCAGGGGCGCCCTGCGCGAACCTGAACTGCATGTAGCCTTCCATACCAGAGACACGATCGCTATCACTATATGCTCCGTGTGCCGTGTGACCATCTTGGATGATGCATGAACGGTTTGAAGCAACAATCCAACGCAGCACATCCAAAGCTGACTTGGAGATCCTGCCGTGCCAATCGGTAAGCATAGGCTCTGCTTTATCGGTGGTATTCATCAGGAACTCCCTCATCGCATCGACACTGGGCAATGTATCAAGGAGCATTGTAATGGTAAACTGCTTCTCAGGGGTCTCGATGTCATCGAAGTTAAGGTTATAGATACAAAATGTGACATCATGGTATCCCAATGGGATACTGGGCTGGTTGTCATTAGAGCCCGGTTTAGAGCCAGCTGATGCTGAGGCGCGGCGGGTGATGAGGCTAGACAGTTTAACCGTGGGGAAGAAGGAGATGTCCTGCACCCGACAGTGGAACTGTCCATTGCACAAACGGCTGCACATTACAAGCCAATCCCCAGCACGAACAGGGCAATTCCCACGGCCACTTGGGAAAAGAAGTTCCAACTTTGATTGGTCAAATTTGGCTTGGTGCACACTTCCACTTGATAAGCTGGTTTTGGAGCCCAGTCCGGAGCCCACGAGTGATACATCACGAGAATAGCATTCAACAGCGGGAACCAAAAGCCCAAGTCCAGTGGGGAAGTCATCCAACCGGCCCAGTTTAGCACTGGCATAGGTGAAGTTAACAAGGAGATCCACAACATCGGGCTGTGATATGATTTCCCATTCCAAACTAGGCCCGAATCCAAGAGCCATGAACTGATATAGACAAAGGCTTTTGGAGCATACGTATGGCTTCAGAGCCTCGAACGCGTTCTCTGTTTTGCAGTGACAGACAAGACAAAACTCAGTGCACCGGACGAAATGACGGAGTACAAACTGCATTGTAATCAGTGGGAAAGAGGCGCCATCGCCAATTTTCTCTACTAGATGGTCAGAGGTTACTAAATCTGGCAGTGCGGTCGATGAAGCAGCTAGCTTCTCTTCTCTAGTATATTTAGGATCTGATGGGTCTGCATGTCCGAGAGACTTTCCCTGTATATCATTGAAGAAAATTTCTGCTCCAGACCAAGGGAAGCCGAAGGTGTGTCTGTACCGTAGGATCTTAATAAAACGTTCGTTCAAAAGAGCATTGAGTGGTTTGCTGATGAACGACCGAGTCACCCTCCGAGTATTCGGTTCGTCAGCCTGCGAAAGAGTCGCTGTCCCCTTGTTCGTAGGTGGCGTCTTGGAGGAGGAACGGTTGAATGCCATAAGCGCACTCTGGAGGGTAGGCTTGTACGAATCGCACAGGTCGGCCTGGAATTCCATATAAGCCTTCCCAAACGCAGAGTCTTCTTGCATAATTTCTTCGAGAGACCGATATCTGTCTACATAGCGGATAAGGCAGACAAGATATTGGTTTCCATTCACATGCCAAGCTTGCATAGCTTCCTCAGATATTGCAAGCTTTGAGATCCGGCACGAAATGCAGATAATTGGATCCTCTGGATCTCCCAAATATCCCACTCTGAAGCCAGCTATTTTGGCCGCGCGAAGATCCGCTGCCATTTTGGCAAGGACGACATTGTCTAAATTTTTGCTCGACTTGCCAGTATCCGGTTTTTCGGCTTGCTCCACCGTGATTTTAGGAGAGTGTGGGGACCATCCATATTCATCATTGGAGTCTTCAGCTACATCTGGCATATCAACATCACTGCCTGAATCAGCAGACAAAGCTTTCTCCAGGGTGCTGGTAATTTGTAAGAGCATGTCAGAGATGCACAGGCCGCGAAGATAGGATTGGGCTTCCTCCAGCGCGTCAGTAACCGCCTGGGAAACATCTTCAGTTGTTGTATACACAAAGTAATCGTGCTCCTTTGGGTATAAAGATAGGTCTAATGTGAATTAGTTAGCAAGGTTTTGTTTTCTTTAGTAACAGGGATAGATCCATACATACCGGAAACAAGGATCTGAATTTCCACTGGCTTCCCAGATGGGGTATCTGGGGAAAATGTGCAGGAAATAACACCATCATCGTCACCAGCCTTCACACTCACCATGTGCGAGGTTTTCCCTTGGCTTGAAGCCTCTTGCAAATCACATACAAAGTCTAGCCTCGGCATGTTTGTTCTCAAGATCCCCTTGTCACAGTGCAAAACAGGACTTTGGAGAGTGGAGGGTGCAAGAGCTCAGAGAGAATAAAATGAAGCGTGCAGGACAATGTGATCAGATACATGAAATGAAAAAAAAAAAAGAGTGACGAGAAGAGTTGAAATGTATCTAAAGAGAAAAAGAACTGAAGAAATCGGGATATTCTGCAAACAATCCAGGAGGGCTTGCTTGCCAGGTAGCCTCAGGAGCCCAATTCTGAATTGTCTTTGAGAAATATCTGAAAGCGAAACAAATTCAGTGTTATTTTGATCAGCAGCTCAAAGAGGGCAAATAAAAGGTTATAGAACTACGAGTATGATTGTTGAGAGGGGCAAACAAGATGAGTGAATGGCGTACAGCTATGTCCTCTTCAGTCCAGAGGGCGTATTCTGCGACAGAAGACCACTATCAAAACCATAGATGGGCAGAAAAGCTAAAGCAAAGGTAAGGCACATGTATTGATTGCAGAGAGCAGATAATGAAGAGCTGGATAGAATTGGTTTAGCAACTCATCCTGCGCCACAATATGGTAGGAGAAAGCAGAGAATGCCTTGTCCCATCAACAAAAGATATTTCTCTAAGCCTTGTTTACACATGGGGAGAGAAAATAATAATAACACTAAAAACAAAAACAATCATAATGTGTCTTGTTGCGAGGAGTGCGCGTTGCGGTGCAACTGAGTCTTGTGGATACAACAGAAGAGCTCAACTCAGGCAACAGTGGATTGTGATGTATTTGATGAACTAGAAATCAATTGGCTGTGACCATTGATTAGTTCACTGAACTGCATGCAGAAAAGACACACAGACAGAAGAATGTCAGATTAGCAAACCGTGAGTGGTGTTTGAATGAAATAGCCAGATTGAAATTCCCAAGCATATCAGAAATGATGTCAAGGATAGCTAGCTGTCAATCCCTTCGATATGCATGATCTGTTTTGTAGCTACAACTCAACTACAACTGGCGCGGAAGAAAGGATTTTTGAAAGGCTTTCTTCTCCTGCATGTACCCCTTTGCTTAGTTTGTCCAACTAAACAACTAATAAATCATCAAAAACTCTCTTTTTAAGTGATCATTCTCATGAAGCATTTCCAGATCCTGTCCAGTGTACCTTATTGGCGAATCGAATACGGAGGATCGAGCTCCAACCCTGATAACTCCAAAAACCATCTGTCACACCGGTAAACTTACCATCGATCCCGCATAGCCAAATTTAGCCTTTGGCCCTACCTGGATTCGCTGGTTCAACGGGGGCAAACTTATGCGCGATTCGCTCGGAATACTAACCTGGGCAAATGCTTGGGTTTTGGCGCTGTGTATATTCCACGTGTGATAGCTTTAAGTTTCTTATACATAGTATGGATATCGACGCCTTTGCACTCATTTCGACCTCCGGGAGAAAATTGTTTCAAGCTCAAGGACGTCCGCTCTGACCATCGTGGTGCCGCGATGCTCTGGCACAATCATCAATAGCGTCTGAACGTACTATGCAGCTTAAAAATAACTCTGTTTGAGGGTTGACCGCATTGGTTATGCACTGAGCAGCTCAAAAGGCGAGAATAATATAAGGATTAACTTAAGCCAGTAAACTGTCAAGAATGGTTACCAAAAGGTTAGAAGAAGAAAAACCTTTACAAAAGACCAAGGAAATAAGGGTGACCTGGGTTAGTTACATAATCCGCCGTGATCACCAGTCAACCAGTTAAGCTCTACGCCAGAAGCAACTTCCGCCTATCTGTGCTATGGTCTACACATACAAGGCACGGACAAAACCACTACATCCTACCGCAGAGGTTTCCAGGGAACCTATGCTCAATTGATAGACATTTCTTTTAATACAAATGCCCCGGAATACCCAGACACAAATCACCGCTTGAAAAGGCGTGGAGCCGTCCCGACCACGCACCCCTAAAAGAAAGCAACAAACCAAGACCGGAATAACGTTCGTCACATATTTATCCCATTCATTTCATACTCCGATTCCACAAGCCATGGACCCCGCCACTCTACACGGACCCCCAGAAGGCCCCAAGATGACACAGCAATCTTCATCCTCCCACCTTGACCCCACCCTCTCCGTATTCGCAGATCCCGCCTTCGACCCAGTAGAGTACCTAAACAACATCCTTCCGCCCTTCTCCTTCTCCCTCTCTTCGTCCCAAACAACAACAGCGATAACGCCAACAGCAAAACCAAAAGCTGCAGACACCTCCACTACCACTACCACCTCCACTGTCTCCCTTGCGGCGCTTTCAGCACAAACTCAATCCCTCGTCTCACAACTCAGTGCGCAAAATGTGCGGCTGTCGAATACCCTCACGCAGCTGACGGATGAAATACTGCGTGGAGGGGGCCGGCTGGCATATGAGGTGGAAGTGTTGCGGGGAGAAGTGGCGGGGTTGTCGGATGCGTTAGGAGAAGGGTTGGTAGATGATATTGGACGGTTTGTGCCCGGTGGGAAGATATTGGATATACATGCGCCTGCGGAGACGGACACAGGCGCGGAGGCGGGGACAGAAACACAAGCAAAACCTGGCGACCTAGCCGATAATGCTACCAAATCGCAATCGCAATCTCAAACACGAACAGAGGATGACCGAAAACAACCACAAACGCATGAACCACAGCAACCACAACCACAACCCGCCGTAGACGAGCCCGTCTACCTCACCCAACTCCGCACCCTAACCAACGTCCGCGCCCGGCTCGAACAGGTGATCCACACATTCGGCGAGGCCATGGAATGGCCCCTCGCCCCTTCCGAAATATCCATCGCCTCCTCCTTCATCTCCGTCTCGGCGCCGGAACCCGGCGCGGGGGACCAACATAGCCGCGAGGAGAAAGGGAAGGAGGTCGCGAGGAAGCTGCGGGAGGAAATCATGGAGCTGCTTAATAAGGATAACGCCACGGGTACGACCACGGATCAAGATATTGATACAGATGGGGTGGAAGCAGCTAGTCGGCGGGTTGAGGCGTTGCGGGAGCTGGCGGGCGTGTGGAAGGGGACGGCGGAGGAGAAGGCGCGGATGAAGTTTGTGGATGGATTGGCGAAGATGGTTGAGGAGCGGAGAAAAGTTGTGCAGAGTGAAAGGGAGCGGGAGATGAAGGGCCGGTTGACCGGGAATAGCAATGCTGGGTGGGATGGGAAGGTAGGTGGGGCGCAGGAAGGCAGGAGTAGTACGAATGGGGCTGGTAATACTACTGCTGCTAGATCTTCTGCTGCTGGTAGTGGTGGTGGGTTGTTGCGAAATCTACAGCGATTGCGGGACGAGATATATCTCGATTGAAGTGAGAATGAGAGGCTTCTGTAAATACTGTATAGTTTGCTTTCGCACTTCAATTTTAGATAGGTCCATGCTCTGGTAAACACAGAGCTATGAATTCGGGGTTAATTGAATATGGGTACTCAAACGGCGAGTTATTTTTTTGTTCAAGTCTTAGACATTGCTCTATCGAATGCTACATGAATATATCTACCTAAGCCCACAGATAAGTAAATGGAATTGTTTATAGAGTATTCTCTGGGAAGCTGTTCTAGTTAACTAGTTATAGGTGGGTCGGGTTACGGCGTGTTCAAACCCGACCCTCACAATAACCAGGTTATATGCAGAGGTGCAGTCACTCAGTCATCAATGCCACTGCATATAATCTGGTTATTGCTGGTGTGTGTTCAATTTCATGTTCATATATACAGAATACTTGTATTTAGTAAGAGAAATACTATTAAATTCAGATATATGTGACTTTGCACACAGAAAGTTATATAATCACTAACTAAATGATCTGCTTGACTTCATCTCTACTAAAGAACTACTGATTTCAGATACTGTATAGAAGTATAAGTCAACTGTCTGAGTGTCATACACAGTCTGTATGACTAGATCTAACTTTATAATAATAATATATATACATCTATAATAATAATGAAGAAATGAAGATCAAAGAGAGAGAACAGAACAGAATAGAACAGAAAAATGAAAGCTTTGTATATACTCTATTCAATAAAAATGAAATTATTCTGTGTATCAGACTGAGTATTATAATTCACATCATCTACTGCTGATGCTTGTAGCTGTGATGACTGTCTATTATAAAAATCATTATATATATCAGACTGATTCACAGAGTCATGAAGAAAGCAGCACACTGTATAATTATATCATTTACAGTTGATATATACTTCTTCAAAGTGACTATATATATAGCAGCACAATGAGAACAGTTTAAGCTCAGAGAATATACAACACTGTGTACAGTCTATAATAAGAGTTCTATCACAGAATTGAATCAGAATGATATTGATGTATGATGAATAATAAGACAACACTTGATCAGCTCTGATATATGTATAAATATACAATATATTAAAATCAGAGACAGTAAGCAGAGCACAGAATTAAAGACTATAACAAAATATACTCAGCTGAAGATTACTGATATATATTATATTATACTCTGATTATTTCTGTCATTCATTTTGATGTTCAGCAGCTGAATGATATAAGTCAATCAATTCAGTCTAAGTCAGATTCTGCTGAGTGATAACAGAATTGTATGAAATGAAAGTTCTTATATTATAATCAGCTTTCTATGCTGTATAATAGAGAAGCAGAGAAATACTTATATTGTTTATAGAGAGAGAAAGAAAGAGAGAACACTGTTGAAGAGCAGAAGAGAGCTGATCTTCTTTTTTATAAAAAAAAAAAATTGAAAATCTTCTCTGACTATATATACAAGTCTCTGTCAGTGTTCTTCTTCTTTGATATAATGAAATAAACATCTCATACAGTGTATGAAGTGAGAAAAAGATAGAGTGAACAGTGAATGAGTGATCTTGATAAATTTCAACAAGAGAATGATGAATTCTGATACAAAAGAGATTATATATATCAGTGAATGATGATGAAGAAGCTGAAGAGAGAAAGAGAAAAAAAGTTGAGAGAGAAGACAGAGAAAGAAGGGATTTTATAATCAACTTATTGTTGTTATTGTTGTGAATGAAAGAGAAAAGTGGAAATATCTTACATATAAAAGAGAAAAGAGAGAAAGAGAGAATACTCACTCTTATGAATTCTGCTGAGGCAGTCTGCATATATAAATAAATAAATACTCAAAATTAAAAAATATACAATATAGTATAGTTAATATATACAGATTATCTTCTTACTCTTCTAAGAAAGACAGAGAGTTTATTCAGACTCATTCTTAATTATATATATATCAATTCAAGCTTCTTCATAATCTCTAGAACAGATTTTGATTTCATTGTACAGTGATAACTGAGTATCTTATTGATAATTATCTTTCATCAGAAAAAGAACATACATTTATTATTCTTCTTTTTTCAGCTAGATTTATATGATGACTTCAGATACTGTATAGAGAACTGTTCATTCAATCTCTATTTTCATTTCTTTCAGAGATTATTGACTGATTGAATTGTATGAGAGAGTTGATATATTCAAATATCATTTTCAGTTGATAATGCTATAGTAGAAGTGGTGACAGCAGCAGCAGCAGTTGATAAAGAGAAGAATGAAGATATAGATACAGAGATGAAGAAAATCTTAACAGTATCTTTCTGTACACAGACAGAAACAGAGACAGACTGAAAGATTCAGAATTCAGTTGTTATTATATCAATTCCACACTGAATTCTATCAATCTTCTTCTTTATTTATACATCTCTGATCTTTATCTGATCTGTCATCACATTGATCTGTCTCTGTACAGTATTCAGACTCTCAAAAATCTATAATACTGACTGTTGAAGTATCATCTTTTATAAAGAAATGAGAATTAACTCTGCAGTCTGTACAGCATCTGCAAACTGCTTATACTCTGTATACTGAAACACTGAGTCAGTCCACAGTGAATGAGTTGAAAATTCTCTCTAAAGAAGAGTAGAGTTCTGTAGTATCACTGTATAAAAATAATCTAACAGCTGTAAAAACCTCTGAGCTGTAAGATTATCTGAGTCAAATAAACTTTCACTATCAAGCAGCTTCAGACTCACATCAGAGATCTCAGAAGAAGTGATATAAAAGAATCTATTCTCAGAATGAAATCAGATAAGTCATTCATTCATTTATAGTCAGAGAGATTTCTTCAACAGCTCTGATGAGATGACTGTAGCTTATGAAAGATAATAATTATTTGATAAGCTAGAATTGAACTCTGCAATTCCTTATACAAACTCTCAATTAATCTGACTGAGATAGCAGCTGATCAAAAAGTTATTATTTCATCACTCAGCTCTGTAAATGCTGTTCTCATTCATTTTATTAAGCTCTGTCTTTTATACATCTGTGAATTGTTTGATATGAGTCTTCTTTATCATCTTTGATATATCTGTATATATAAAGAGCTTGTTTATTCATTTAAGATGAGTTCTATAGAAGATCTGCTTGTATGAATTCTCACTCTTGAGTAAGTGAATATTGTATCAGAGCTGATGATAGTGAAACTGAGACAGAGACTTCTGTACAATATTTCATCTATAGAATAAATAGAATACAATCTGTAATATTGAACAAAAAATATAATTTTTATGCTGTATGACAGTTGAATATTCAAGTCTATTATTCTAATTTATCTTATCATTATTTATAATCTGAATAAGAGATCAGCAGAGTATTGATCTTTTATTTAACAGCTTAATTATAAACAGATCAGTCAACTACATCTCTCATCTGAACTACTCTTTCAGCAGTATATAATGACTTATAAAAAAGTCAGCTGCTGTACAGAGAAGAGACTCAACTGTATATCTTTCATTTCTCTGTCATCTCTTTCAGTACTGATATACAAAGTTCATTATATTCAGCTTAGTATAGCTGTTCATCAGAGTATCTGCATCTCTATTCATAAACTCTGTATATCTCTATATATACTCTATAGATCTGTAAGTCTTTAACATATCATTCAAAATCTGATCAACTGAATAAGAATGAGAGTTCTTCTGTCTACTCTGCTGTATATAATACAAATTAATAAAAACTGTTCAATACTGTTTGATCAGACTCTCTTCTATTATCTGCACAATCTTTTCTCTCTCAGTATTTATATACTTTCTTTTAAGATGATTCTTTCTGAGTGAATAATTGAGAACTCTTTTACTAAAGAATCAGATTGTCTTCTGTTCAGAGACAATCTGACTATCTGAAAACTTCTTTTTATTATATTATTTCTATTGTACAGATAGTGGAGATTGAGCAGCAGTGAGAAATTAATCTATCAAATTTCATCTCTCTTCATACACAGAAATAAAGAAAAAATAGAAATAAAATAAATCTATATATTATTATTCATTTATTCTGCTTTTCTGTGTATACTATTTATATATTCTTTGATCTACTTTATCTACTGATTTTCAGTGTATTCTCTCTCTGTACTGTCATCTCTACAATAAGATTATACTGTAGCTGCTCTCATACAGCAGCTGCTTCAACAGCAGTATCAGCAGCAGAGATTATTATCAGTCTTTCTCACTTATACAGAAATACAAGAGTTTCAAAATAGATGAATAAAAATAAGAATAGTTAAGAATAGAAATTAATACAAGAGCAGAGAGAGAAGAATACAGTAGTGGGATGATAATTATTAAATACACATTCAGAGAGAGGCTGATACAGTCATTGTACATAATATTACAGAAAAGTTATCTCTTTTATATGATCAAAGAAGATAGCTCACCATACAGAACATGTATGGGTTATTCAGGGGCCTTGGCTGAACACCATAGGAACACGTGTTCGAACACAGGCAAATCCACCTTCATATAACCACTAGTTACACCAAAAAAGTTATTCCCCTTACGTCATCATTTGCCATGGTAAACAACCATAGCTAGCTAGCTAGTTACTCCGTATCCTGTTCCACCTCCGACTATCACCATAGCCAATTAGATGTGGCATTCTTGCCTCTTCGCTCGTGAGGGGATCGGGTAGTCATATTCGACGCTGCTGCTGTTTACCTACACAGTCTACCTTACCTCTAGTTAGGAGCAAACAGTATGCGCGTACTGGATTATAAGGGTGTGAGGGATGGCGCTGGCGTATATCTCTCAACGCTGTCCAGGCCTCTGCGGAGGTCAAGGAGGACAAAGACGCTCTGGGCCATTGCAGGTATCATGGTGGTTCTTTTCCTGATGTCCAGAAGCAGTCTGTATCAGGTACGTTGTAGTTTGCAGAACTGCTAAGCAGACACAAGCTGCTGATATCCCCACAGACCCTGGATGCCGATATCCCTGAGCTATATCCTAGCCAGCCGGTGACCTCGCTTGCGGAGGATGAGATATCGCCCGCCATCAACTCCTCCCCTCCCAAATTGAACGAAGATGGCACATTCGCTAGTGGCCTCACAAAACCAAACCATTCCTTCCATCTCATCATCCGCCGACCGAGCAATGAGTCTGATATTTGCAGGACAATAGCCACCGCCATGATTCTAAACTATCCGCCGCCAACAGTGCTTTTCCTAGACGAGCTTATCAATGAAGAAGGGAAGCAAGAGCCAGGGAGAGCGGATCCACTACTGGCTATGCACAGGTATCTCACAAAGAACACGAATTTGAAAGATGACGATGTTATCCTGGTTATCGACGGCAAAGATACCTGGTTCCAACTGCCGCCTGAAATACTTCTCCAACGATTCCACGACATGCTGAAAGGGCATAACAGGAAAATAAAGTGGAGATATGGCTCTGTTCCGGAGAAGGCCACGAAAAATGTGGATCCTGGCACGCTGAAGTCAACACAGAAATACTCACAGCGCATTATTTTTGCAGCTGATAAAGTCTGTCGGCCGGATCTTCCGCACGATGCTTCCTGTGTTGCAGTGCCTTACTCCAACCTACCACCAGACATCTACGGTCCCCTGACCGATACTGGCAAAGACGTGGCACAAAACCGGCCCAGATGGTTAAATTCTGGTTCATTTGTCGGGTTAGTGGGCGATGTGAAACGTCTATATGAACATGCAGCGGACCTTAATTCCAAAATCCCCATCCCAGCCGACGAACAGCGTGTCCTAGCTCAAATATTCGGCGAGCAGGAATACGCCCGAGAGCTATATAGACACCTCACGCGACCAAACTGGTACATCTTCATAGGCGAATTATTCGGAATCCTCAAACGCGTAGACATATCACGGCTATTCATGCAGCTGGTCCCAGGACGCCGTTACGAATTTGCCATCGGCCTCGATTACAAATCCCAACTCTTCTTCACAATGTCCCCTCATTCCCATCACAACCTGGAATGGTTACATTACAACAATGTCTCGCAACTCTCCTCCGCACAGCTGAGACACGGCGTCCCTCGCGAGTCCCGCATAAACATACCAGCCGATGTCTCCAGGTGCGGAAACCCTTTCACTCCACCACACCCGCTAACGACCCAAATTCCATCCCCTTACCATTCTTCAGTCGATAACCTTCCAAGCCCGCAAAATGAATCATGGTACACCCTCTCCCTCGCCACAGACATCCACTCCACCTCCGTTCCCGTTCTCCTCCACACAAACACCGAGGCCTCAGACCCCAACTCTCTCCACCTCTGGTGGCAGCACATGTGGTACCACCCCTGGTTCCACGCGCTACTGCGCAAATCCATGTGTGCGTCGCGGGAACCCATCGCGGCTCGTGCAGCTCTGCGCGGGGCCAACATGGACGAGCGGGACACGCGTGACGGCAGAGGTGACGTGTGGACGGGTACTGGTGAGTGGTGTGATTGGGCGAGTTTGTGTAAAGGGAAGGAAGGGTTAAGTTTTGTCAACGATGGCTTTGGGAAATGGGGAGAGGATCTTGGAGGTGATTATCTCGCACCCGTTTATGATAAGTTTGGGTAGCTAGCAGAGGGCAGCATTTTGAGGGGTATGTATGAAGATTTTCCTCTTTTTCTCAAGCTTGTATGCATTTTTAATTGTATGATATTTGATGTGGGACGTATGGCGTGTATTTTCCTCTATTATTTAACATTCCATCTCGAATGAAAGGTAGGATGAGGCGTTTCTGCTTCCTTTTGCTGCCATCCAGGTGCTTTTAAGATGATTTTACGGGTTGGGGCTTCGACTTCTTTGGATCGAATGCCTGGTAAAGGCCTCCAGCCATGAACAGTGTAGAACTGTACAAGAATAATTGATATTGACAACAACTGTTTAGCCTACAAAAAAGGAACACATACTCCGTGAGAAGGGCGTATTTTAAGATTAAAAACTTGCAAGGGACTCTATTGAGTGCACAAAATATTTGGTGAGCTACATAGATGGCAAGGGAAAGAAGGAGGGTAGACATCAACACACATACGAAATTGAAGAAAACAGCTCGTCAGAGATAGGAAAACTGTCAAGGACGTCTGCAGCCAGTTCAAGAACGGCGAATTTATAGGAGCTTCCGTTTCTCTTCTCGATTCTATGATCCAAGTAAGTCGCCCGAAAATTGATCCCGCTAACCGCCCAGTTCTCCTTGCCCTACGTGGCCTTCTCCATGTACTAGATTTAGGTCTAGGCTGGCTAATGAGTCGCAACTGGGCAAGCTTGTTTTAAGCGGAGATTGGTTCATTTGTGATGAAAGCTTGACTAAGGGTATCTTGCCTCCCTCGTTTGCGTACAAATGTCCATGAACATATATAAAGGATGTTGAGAATCATCTGGAGCAAGTAAAGTATTTATGCTATACTCAAATAAAAACGACATACTTGGGTATTCATCATTAATCTTGAAAAGAGCAACACAAGAAGGCAATGACGGCCTGGTTCCCGCCTGAACGCCGGGGATAATATACATGTACAACAGAATAAAAAGAATAACCCCGTTACAAAATGAACGAGACGGATATGGGCGGTGAAAATAGATGTAAATGTCACCCCGCCGTTACACTGGCAGCGGCACTCACCCCTTTTCCCTTCCCCCTTTTCCCCAACGTCTCCCTAACAATCCTCAGTATCTCCCCAACATCCTCAGTACTCAACCTCTCCTCGCGATCCTCAATAACGGTATCCAGCAACGCAAGCGCTCCGTAGTCAGCTTCCTCATCAATACCTCCATATACATCTCTTCCTGGTTGCCCACTCGCACCGCCGTCAACTTCCATCCCATCTACCATCTCCTCCGTAACAGCAGAGGCAGTCGTAACGCCATCCTCCCCTTCCCCGTCCCCCGTTTCGCCACTCACACCCAACCCTATGCCCAGATTCACAATCATGAGCACTTCCGCCTTCGTAAGTTGGAACGGCCGGAACCGACTGATTATTTCCCGCAGGGCATTGTCGAGCGCTGTCGGCTGTGTTTGAGATAGAAAGGTCGTAGTTATATTTTCACTGCCATTGCCATTGCCGTTGCGGTTGGTATTATTATTTTCGTTATTATCATTATCATCCTTATCATTATTGTTGGTGTTGTTGTCACCCGCCGGCTTCGGCGGGATAAAGCTCGGGTAATTGAGGAGATGGGGCGACAGACGGGTTACGTAGTCATGGAACTACGATCCATTTTCAATCAGCGAATTGGAGTTACTATACTAGTATATATGGATAGAGGCAGGGAAAGAGAGGGACAGGGGAGCCGTTAAAAAGAGTGGAACAGCATGGACACAAAGTATATATCCCATTTTTTATCCCATTTTTTTTTTCTTGAAAAATAAAACAAAGAAAAACCAACCTCTTTAACAACAGTATTATGATCCCTCAAATCTGGACTAGGGGTAAAATTTCTCGAATTGGGCGGTGGATTGGGAGGTCTGCGTGGTGGGTTCAGACTGAAATGTGCCAGCACTTCCACATTTGTTAAGATGGCGGATTGCGGTTCGAGGATCTGAAAGCAAGCTCGACTTTTGAGTTAAGTTTTGTTTCCAATGTAGTTCCTAATATAGGTATTTTCTGATTTTTAGGGTTTTTAGGATTTTTGTTATCTTTTCCTTTTTGGATCGAGCTCACCTTCATGGTTGTATGTAGACAGACAATGGATAGGTGCTGTTCCAGGCTGATTGATGGCGGGGACGAATATTTTTCCTTTTTGTCTGCGGCGGAGGCTGGCAGAAAGGAAGGAGAGCTTCAAGGCGGTGAGCGGCAGCCATAAAGTGTAGAAGGTGGAAGATTGATACTACAAGTATTATTGCTCACAAATGAGATCAGAAGACGGAGAAATGTCTTTATCCAGCTTTCCCACTTAAATGTTTTTCAAAAAGAATTTAAATTTCAGAAGCAAAATGGAAAACTACCCTATTTTTTCTCCCAAGCACCAACCTGCGCCGTAATTGACAAAAATAGGCAACAAAGTATCAAAAAAAGAAAGAAACAATATACTTAAAAAAGGACAGAAGACGAGATGAAAACCAAGAAGCATAAGTCTCGCCATTTGAAATGCAAAAGGCCTGGATAAGCAGACGTATCAGGTGGAAAATGAAATAGAAGATCCACAAGGAAGCATGATATCATACAGAAGAAAAGGGAAACAATGGAAAAGACAAAAATAGTGGAAACATATGATTTCCTTCATGCTTTGCTCTTCTTCTTCTTCGTTTTCTTCTCGTCGTCCTCCTCAGCCCGTTTTCGCTTCTTACCAGCCTCCTTTTCCGCTGCCTTAGCAGCCTTCTTCGCTTCCTTTTTCGCCTTTTTCAAGTCCTTCTTGCTAATATAGGATGGGTTCCCTTCGCTATCAAAAACGATCTCCCCTCGCTCGAGTTTGCGTTGATACCGGCTAACACTGAGTCCTGCCTTTGCAGCCATTTCCTCCACACTCGGACCACTGCCACTCTTCTGCTTCTTCGATTTCTTATCTTCCTTTTTAGATTTCTTCTCTAGGGATTTTCCCTTCGACTTCTTCGATTTCTCTTCCCCGTCCGACTCTTCTTCGGATGACGCATTAGCATCAGCCATCGATCCATTGGTTGCGGGCTTACCCGCCATCTCCACATCTTCATCAGACTCTTCCTCACTCTCACTTCCATCTTCAGATTCCTTAATTTCCTCAATCAATTTCTTTTTCTTATCCTTCTTCTCTTTCTTCTGCTTCTTTGGCGATGATTCAGCAAGGTCCTCGTCCCCAGCAAGCCCATCCGCATCGGGGTTATACTTTCTAGCTTCGTTGATCTCCCATTTCTTAGGCTGGGCTGTAGGAATACCGTTTGGTGCAATACCAACCCCTCTTGGCTTTATGGGTTTGCCTTCCATAGCCGCCAGTTTCTTCTCGAGATAGTACCGCGATTGCATACCGAGAGCAGCCTTCTCTTCCTCAGTGGGTTCATTTCCATCAGCATCGACAGGCCAATCAGTCAAGGCATCGACGCGAAGACCAATAGCTGCCTTTGCGGCCAAATAACGAGCCATTTTACCCTTGTTTTTGCCGGTGGCCTGTCCGATCAGGGACGCATGGTAAATTAGGCCATATTTGGGGGTGTCATGCTTGGTCTTCAAAGCACGGAAAAGAGCCTTTTCCGCTCCTAGAATTTGAATGGTACTGGCAGGACTCTTGGATAGGTTTACCAAGCTGCCGGCATGAGCGATCAATCGAGCCCCGACCAGTTCTCCCACCAGCGCTGTAAGATTGGGTGCGATGGCCGTCATTCGGGCAGCCAGATAGCTTGCAAGCTGTTGGCGGTACGTCGAGAAGCCAATGACCTCCTCCGCCAGGGCCTGAATATTGTCAAGATCTTCGTTGGAGATTTCCGTACCCATCGACCGATCCGCCGCGGCCTTTACAACAGCCTCAATTTCCTCTGGCAGGATCTCGGCAAGATCGGTTTCCCCAAAATTAGAGCGCATACCCACTTTTAGCACCACCTTGGAGTAGGCGATGTTGTCGTTCAGAATTTTGGCGAGCTCCGGGAAATGCCAGCCGTACCACTCCTTGACGCGCATGGCGTAAGTGTTGAGTTCCTTGTCGAGGTCATCAAGCAAGGCAATGGCCTGGACAATCATGGTGTCGATTTTGTCGGGGGAGAATTTGAGTTTGTGGCGGGCTAGAGAGTGGGACAAACCCAGGGACATAGTGGACATATCCCCTGGTAAGAGGCCTGGGATCAGAGTGGGGAGGTGCTCCCGGATTGCGCGGTAGAGATCCGTGGTTGTGGAGTCTGCAATTGGCTGTATGGCGAGGGGAAGTTTTGCAATGGCATTTCCTTCACGCATAAGTGTTAGCTTACATGGCCAGTTGTATATTCTGGGCATCTCACCAGTGAATTTGAGAGAGGAGACTCACCAAGTTTTGGGTCTGCAACAGCCAAGGAGACCTTCTTCTCATCTTTAATAGATTCAAGCAGATTTGCCAATCGAGGTGTAACTTTCCCTTCCACTAGAGACGCGGTCTCTTCCAAAGCTGTGGCCGCACTATCGAACTTTTGGAAATTCTTCAATTTCATACTGTACTCAATGCTGTCAGCTGCATCCGCACTTTCAGAGAACGTGGCACATAACATATTGTAGAATAGAATATGTTCCACGCAACAATCCTACAGCCAAACAACTTACAGATTCGACACACCCTCCGCGGTCTGAGTTTCCGCCACAATATCATGGCGCTTGAGCAGCTTCTTGTCCTTGGCCTTGAGCAGCGCATAGCCAGCGCTGGTTTCTGCGAGGATAAACAGCGTCATGGCAGCAGCAGGAGATTATATAATTCAGGGTAAGTGTCGTAGCTAGTCTTCACTTCCAAGGTTATTTATTCCCTTCTTGCAGTTTACAGACGACACAAAGAGGAGAATAAATTGACCGCACTCCAGGCCCAGCACCGGAAAGAGCAGCCCCGGAGAAACAATTATTTCCCAATAACTGGATTGGACTCGACGCGGTAGGGGAAGTCGCGAGTGGGTTGAATGGGTACTGGGGAAGGAAGGTGGAAGGGTCAAATTTTTGATTTAGTTCCCTTTTTTTTTTTTTTGTCCAAAGAGGAAATTTTGAAGTGTCGGGTAGCGAACGTTGACCTGTGGTTGGCTGGGATCTTGCTGCTTAGATAAGCTATCACGTGGAAATAAGCTTGGGTCCCTAGCCAAATAAGGCTAGATCGACTTTAAGGCTTAATTCAAGCCTCTTGGTAGCTTTTGACGACATCGACATCAATGGATGTTAGTAGTCGAGAGTCAAAAGATATCGGTGGATAGAGATATATGCGATTCAATAGCCCGTGATGGAGGGCTTATTTTTCAACGTGAATGGCGGGTATGTATCTTTGCACATAGCATCACTCTTTAGCTATATTGCTTTACTGAACTCCAGTTGCAAGGTATATCGAAGGACTCGTTCGTGGTTATCGAAACAGTCTGCTCACCTCCCAACACTACGGAAACCTGACGCAATGTGATACTATCGATGGTATGTTATTCCCGCTTGGTCCCACGTTCTACAAGATAAAGTATTTCACTAGTAATTAATCGTATGTTATATGAGTCCGGACTAACATCGGTTGTTTGACATATAGATGTCAAGATCCAACTCGGCCCGGCCTATGGTGACTTTCTAGCCGCTCTCCCCCCAAATCCCTCCACCTCCGCCCTCGCTGGAAAAACCACAGAGAAACTCGTGGCGGAATTCCGCTACATCCAGGCCCAAGCTACTGGCTCCATTGCAAGGTTCATGGAATACCTGACCTACGGCTACATGATCGATAACATCGCCTTACTCATCACGGGAACCCTACACGAACGTGATACACGAGAACTGCTCGAGCGATGCCACCCGCTCGGCTGGTTCGAAACCATGCCCGTCCTCTGTGTTGCCACAAACATCGAAGAACTCTACAACTCCGTCCTCGTCGAAACGCCGCTCGCGCCTTACTTCAAAGGCAGCATCAGCCACCAGGACCTGGACGAATTGAATATCGAAATTGTCCGCAACATGCTGTACAAGAACTATCTAGAGGACTTTTACAGATTTGTCAACTCCGAGCCGGGTCTAAAAGGGTCCCCGACTTCTGAGGTCATGTCGGAGGCTCTCGAGTTCGAAGCGGACCGTCGCGCCATTAATATCACTCTGAACTCCTTCGGGACGGAACTTTCCAAGGCGGAGAGGAAGAAACTCTACCCAGAATTCGGCAAACTATATCCTGAAGGCACACTAATGCTGTCACGGGCTGATGATGTCGAAGGGGTTGCACTAGCTGTCAGTGGGGTTGGAGATTACAAGGCCTTCTTTGACGCCGTGGGGCTTAGCCAGGGCGGAGCTGGAGGGGCCGGAGGGGCCGGTGGCATTGGCGGTGCGGGGTTGGGAAATATGGCTGGTGGAGGTAGCAGTGACGGGAGGAGTTTGGAGGATATGTTCTATCAGAAGGAGATGGAAATTTCGAAGCTTACTTTTACCCGGCAATTTACGCCGGCTATCATATATGCATGGGTTAAACTGAGGGAGCAGGTACGTTTTTTAAATTTCTATTTTATGTTTCTCCTCTTTTCGTTTTGATTTCTTTTCATTTCGTCCGATCTGTGAATAGCGGATTTTTCAATGTGGAATGCGTATTCTAACATTGTGCAATTTGGTCTTCCCGAATTTAGGAAATTCGAAATATCACCTGGATTGCAGAGTGCATTGCTCAAAATCAAAAGGAGCGGATAGGGAATTATATTAGCGTTTTTTGAGATATTGCCATTTTCGTTTCACCCGGGCTTTCATGTACTCTCTGGCTCCGTGTTCTTTTACTTTCTGATGGCGTTCACTTTGCTTTCTATTTTGGTCATTTTCCCTCCCTCCACCTTCCATTTCATTTCTTCTCTTGGGAATTAAATCTTTTTTTTAGGTCGGGCTCCTGTCTTTCGCTCCCAATCTTCCCCCGATCATTAACCTTTGTAGTTTTTATTTCATATTTTGTCAACACCATTGCATATATGAACACAGCCAAGTCCTGTCCTAATGTACATGTACTGTACAAGCAGAGAAACTGCAGAACATTGCCAAATTTTCGAACTTTCGATAGTCTCTGATAACATTGACCTACCCTACCGTTTTCCCGTTTTCTGTTTCATCATCTCTGAGAAGAAACCTGCAAGTCGCCCCATTTTAACCATCCTATCAATTCCGTTCCGTGTTTCAAAGTTTCTCCACCACACCTTGGCGACACATGTATATCCATGGAGCGACATGGATTCAACAACAGTCTTGAAATCATTCCTTGCCAACCTTTGAAGTATCTTGGTACTTACGCAGTAGACTTCGTACATAGGACCCTACATAGGACTCTGAGCCGAGGTCCTGTACCTCCGATTGCTGGGGTTGCGCTCACATAAGCACTAAACGAAGTCCCTGCCCTGTCCCGCTTTTGCTTGATTTTTTGCGAAGGTTTCTGCTAATGCCTTTGCTCAGGGTTCAAGCTGTCGATCTCTGTTGGGGTGTGGCTTGCAGCACAATGGTGTGTTCAGTACATTAATAATTTGTATGCTTCTTGAAGTTGGGAAGTTGCTGGACCATCCTATGAACAAAGGTAACGTCTTCAGAATCGCGCCTAATGCGCGAATCAGATGGGGGTGGAATACATTTATCATTTGTGGAATATCCGTCTACATGAATAGTAGTCTTCTCGCAGGACGGGACTCGAACATAAACGCAATACTATGTATGTCTTCCTAGATGCGCATAGTACGATGATGGTAGCTAGAATTTTCGGGTTTTCTGATGATGAGTGCCGCATTTGCTCTGATGCCATCAATAGGTATCGATTCAGGTCTCTTGGGTTCATAGCGATAAATGACACAATATTGAATATTACCTATGTATGCTGTTGTATGTACTTTTCCATGTCTTCCAAAAATCTACCAAGACATACATTTTTCGTTGCCTTTACAGTATCAAGCAACTTCTACAAGGCTATCTTTGAGTACTGAAGAGCATGAATTACTCGATCGAGCTCCAATCCAAAATATTTAACGAGGGTCGTGCACTATCAACGAGAATCTTTGACGGCTCTCCTACGTACGCAGCAGGGTGACAGGAAATAGGATGGCGAGGGTGAAGCAAGCTGACTGTCATATTCACACTCCCAAAATTCACCGTCAAGATTTATTTATTGGGGAATAGTGAATAGAATAGTGAATAAAACATCTATACATATAAAATAACCTTTAGCTACACTTTATTTTCAACGTTCTCTGCAGAGTGGATAATTTATAAAGAGAGGTCATACACAGAGTCTGTATCCATTCCTCCTTCCAACGAGTCATACATAACTCTTGGCCATGGCGCATTCTCATTGACCATCTTGTATGTCCTCTCAGTTATTCGGCGAAACGCTTGCCAAGAAGGACGAGTGATCCTGGTTCCTGGCAAGCCGCCAGATCGACGGGTGGCATTCATTGGCAGCATTGGCGGGTTTCTTAGACGGGCCCCGGGATTTACCCAAGACCAGGGGTAAGTATGGGACAAGGCACAGGCACAGAGGCCAAGTCCAGGGAATCCGCGGCCTGGAATCTCGGAACCACTGATTCATAGTTGAGTATTGGACAGACAGGTTGCTCAATATTGGGGAACAGCGAGAGAGCTATGAGCCGTAAGGGGTACCTCTTGCGGAGTTGGGAAATAATGAAGACTGTCGTTGTGGTTTAAAACAGCTGCTGATTTTGACCCGCGGTTGGGCATTCTCCTCATTGTCATCCGCATCCTACATATCAAATCAAGGGCCGGATGGACAGCGCAACCTGCGGTTTGGGACTGCCGCTAACTGCCCACCTAAAACACTAGGGGCTCAAGGCTCACTGTCCATGATCGGCACATTTCGAACAAGAACCCTCCCCTCCGAAGAAAACATCATGTCAGCAGCCGGGCTGTCGTCTCCGCTGAGTTCGCTCCGGGAATTCCGCCATAAACTCCTTCAATAAACCTTACTATCCACCAAACAGCAGCGTTGACAACATTTTCAATGCGCGCACACACTCGAAGTGAGGAATGAGAATAGTGACGGGAAGCCAATCCTTAGCACAAAGCAAATGGAATGACGGTGACAAGTTGACTTACTGACTGACACCACCATGAACCCAGGACATCAGAATTGCGATCGTCAGGAGCTACTCATGCGGCATCAACATCATCGGTGCAAAGCGACATAAACCAGTTTTGTTGGCCAGTACATGCCTGCCTCCTGAACTCTGATGCAATTAAGCTTGTATTCTTTTGTATACCCGGGACATGCGTACGCCCTGATATTCTTGTTATCATTGGCTTTCAGCACCAAAGCGACACAACTCGCACGTTGAAGGACTTTGTTTCCTTTTTCCTTCGCTTTTAAAAACGGAAGAATCAATCCATGGCATGAACTACAGGGTTGAAAATCAGTATAATTGGCCCAGGAGCAAAGATGCTCTCTGTACCTGCATTTCTCTTTCTGGCTTCTATGGTTTCCTTTTTCCTTTTTACTCCTATTTCTGCGCCTTTGCGAGGGATATAGTGATATACAGCTATTCTCCTGATGCGGAGGAGGTAGAAAAGCCTATTTGACTACTGATACCACTTTTTTCTGAGGGATATTATTGCCTCCTGATGGATTTACCAGTTGCCTCCTATTGCCATTAAGTTTCGGTGGAGAGGAATAGATAACACCCCAGCTAATCACATTTTGGAAACAGGATGCCTGCACAGTGCTCCTAGCTTCGCAACGGTTTATCTACTCCGCAGCGTAAAGTCGATCAAGGGTTGTTGATCACTATTTCCTTCGAAGCTTGGAAATTTCCTTTGTTTCGGGTGCTGTCGATGTCACTTTTGTTACACGGGAGAGTGTTCTGTATATAAGAGACGGCTAAGAAGCACCTGGACATACTTCACCGTCTTCTCTTCCTTCCTTCCCTCCGTCCCTTGTTCATCTGACATACAGTCTTTTTCGTGACGTATCCAACCTTCTTTATCTTTCTGAGAAAGAATACCACGCTCTTTTACTGCTCCCTAGTCGTTCATTCGGAACTCACGTATATACGCTTGTTGATTCTCACAGCCCTTTCGCAGACCACCCAATCACTTCTTCAACCATGAAGCTCTCTGTCGTCTCCGCCGCATTTGCCCTTGCTGGCTCCGCCATTGCCGCGCCAACTCCCCTTGTCCCAGGGCTCCCCCAACTTCCAGGCATCGGGTCGCTGCCCTCCGTCGATGGAATTCCTGATGCCCTCGTCGGCCAGCTTGTCCCTTCAGTCACCAGGAGTATCGGTGCCGCCGGTTTGGGATCACTTTTGGGTCCTCTCCAGGGCCTTCTGGGTGGAGCGTTGGGCGGACTTCCTATTCCACTGAAGGCCCGCCAGGATGCAGAGTCCGAGATCAACGGCTTGAGCCCTGAGCAATCTGCGCAAATGATCCAGTCCATCAATGAAATCGCATCAGCCCTCCAGGTTGATAAGGCCGTCAACGGCAAACTACCCGAGGTCCATGGTTTCTCGAAGGAGAAACAGGAGCAGCTTCTGGGAGCCTTCAAGGCCCTCGTTTCCCAGCTTGCCCCCTTGGCCAAGAACGGCCTGAAGGACATTGCCCCCAAACTTGATGCACTTAATATCCCAGTTCAGGGCCTTACCACCCGTGATCCTCTGCTTGAGAGCCTCCCAATCGTTGGCGGCCTCCTCAGTGGTGGCACTAGTAGCATCCTCAGCGTCGTCGCTGGCCCCCTCAGCATCCTCACCCAGGTTCTCGGTATGACCGGAGTCGCACCACTTCTTGGACCCGTCCTCTCCACCATCAGCGGACTTGGCCTTCCTCTTTAAAGGTGAACTTTGCATTTACACCATTCGTTCTCCCCAACGTCATGTAGAGGAGATTTTGTTTGACCAGTCCTCAATCCCTAGGTTTTATCCATTGCGCTAAATAACGTCACTTCCAGCAGGAGATTTCACCATTCTAGCAAAACCATGATCCCCGCGACACGCTTCGGCTGGCAATGGCTTCGACTAGGAGAAAGAAACCCCACAAGAGACTCTTCATTATCCCCCAACCATTTCCATCTTTAATTCTTTTCTTTTCATACCTGCTTCTTTTTCCCTCTCCCGGGAGGAGACTTAGATATCTATTTTTTGTGTGAATTAATTGTGGAACTGGTTTTGGCGGCTAATGAAACAAGGTTTTTTTTATTCCATTTATACTGATACTTGTATTTGTGCTATATATAACGCATCGTCGGGAATCCTCTCAAACTACCTTATCAAATGCATTCTTAACTTTTCCATAAACTGAATTTTTGCATGGCTCCGCGATGTGCTTGAGATTCTCAAGGTATGAAGTTGATTTTATTTTGACTAGTTTTATTGAACTCTTCTGTCCAGCCTATTTATTCTGTACTATACACATTCCCATACAGTTTATCTAAAAGTATTATGCGTTTAGTAATATTTTTTATTTTTGCAGCGCATTACTCTAGCTCCTTCCATGTTGCATGCGAGGATTCTAGAAGGGGGTGTGGCCAGAGGGTTTTCCCCCTTGCTATAGTTATAGCGGCATGCTTAAGAAAGCAACTCAAGGAACACTTTTTCGCTGTCTGACGATAGCTCTGGATCGCTTCAAATATCCATAGATAATCGCGGTATACGTAATATCAAGGTTATGCTTTGTTTCAATCCTCAGCTGTGGTGGCAATAATAATAACTAAGGGGCATTTTGAATAGCTAGTGCCATTCTCATCTACTTACGTCAATATTTCATCCTATCTCGAACTACCACTATTAGATACGTATGACTCGGTTATAATTTCACTCAGTGACGATTTCTTTACTTTGCCGCAAATAACCATTGTTTCAAAGTTGAGCTTCAATCAATCCTCAGTCACGAAGGTTCTGGTAACTTCCTGCTGCGGCCGTTGGAAAACTACGGTAAGTGGGTGATAGGAGATTTGAATGTAATGGCTAATGGTTAACTATATGCTGGTTTCCTGAATAACGAAAGTTGAGAAATCCTTTGTGATTCTCTCTCGTTTCTCAGGCAGGGAGGTGACAGCGCTGTGTAACATTCATATGGCGCAAGGGGCACAGTAACTAAATACTAGTCTCTTCCCGACATCCTTCATGCTCTCCTGCTTCGTTTCTTCTCAAATTGGGATCCCTCCGTGGCATTCGATGGAATCCTGGGTGTGCGGACAGAAAGGCATATATATCCCACAGGTTCAGAGACCGTTTGGAGAACCGTCAAGGAATCCCCACACATAGTTGTTCTCTCTTCCTCCACGTCATGAATCTAGTATTCTTTCTGTTTATCGTCAAAGATAACTTGATAGCATTGATAGCGAGCGTGCTTTTTAAGCAACTCGAGGCACAGTTATCGGCTCTCTTGGACCATCAATTTTGTTGTTGAAGTTCGTCCGTTTGGGGACACCACAATCGAAACCTTCGCTTTGAAATATCAGTTCGTGTATACTTGGAAAGCTCTGTGTTTGTACAGCACATTTAAATTACATTTTTTTCTACTTTACTTTTCTACTTCATTTTCATACAGCGTGCTTCACGTTAATGTAGGAATCATGTTTACATTTTTTTAAAATTCTTTTTTTTTTAAACGTTTAACACCAATTCAAACTCCCATATTCGTTCGCACTTCAACAAGTAGTGGGGCGGCATTTTTATATCAAGTCTATTAATTGTGTCAAGGCCGGAGCATCCTGAAAGATCCGCAGCTTGTTTATGTTCCTAAACATTGAGAAAGTTTACCAGAGGAAAATAGTTCAGCCCTAAAAACAATCATAATATATCTTCAGATATGTCGAACATAGTAGGCGAAAAACTCCATAACACCAGCGCCAGCGCCAAGGCTGTGTCGAACCCCATATCCCCCATTGATTACAAGAAAGTACAGAAGATATCATAAAGTACAAATATAAACGATAATACCCCATCAGATTTAGGGGGAAAAGGGGGGAATTGGAAAAAGGAATAATATAACAAATCATTAAACGCCTCCCATCTCCACTTCCACCCCAACAATCTCGTCATCCACCTCTTCCTTCCGACGTAAGAATGAAGCTTCTTCAAAATCAACAGCCTGTGTCATAGAAACAACCCCAGGGTCGTTATTCTCTTGCCCGCAATGACGCACTTTGTGCGGTTGCGGCTGCTGTTGCTGTTGATGATTTTGATATCTGCCAACCTTATGCGCCAGTCTCGGAAGCAGGATTGGTCGTGACGGTGAATTTGCAGGCGTGCTGACGACGGGAATCGTGGACTTCCACATCTGGTGGAACCCGCGCGGGAAGATATTGGAATATTCATCGTCGTCGCCTTCGCTGTCTGAGTCTGCACAGTCGGGTTCCAATGGTCGTTTGTTTGTGTTAAGTGTCGCTGGCGGAATTGTGGATCCGATGGTGGATGAATCTGTAGATTTTTGGCTGCTTGAGGGGAGGGCGGACTGGTTCCATTCCTCATCCAGTGCGTGGTTGTGGTGTATTGTCTGATGTGTATCTGAAGGATGCTGTGGGAATGTCTGTACTGCAAGATTGCCCGTTTTCAGCACACCGCAAAAGGGTGCTAGTTCTGCGTATGACGTAGACATCGTTCGCGTTGGGGATATAGTTGAAGATGAGCCTGTATGAGATATATGGAAAGCCGATTTTGTGGCTGTTGTTTTATAACCTTCTGGTACTGATTTGCGAACGCGCATGCCGACGGTCAGGAGGGAGGACTGAACTTTGTGAGGAAGCACGGGAGCTGGGGAGTGTGTTGGTGCTGCATAATTGAAATGCGAGGAGCCATTGGAGGGAGATTCCGTATTGCCGGATGAGAAGTATTTGGTTATGGGGACTTGGAATCGCCGTCTTTTAGAGGAGGAGCACAACGAGGTGGTGGATTGTGGTTCCATGATGCTTGGAAATTTAAGATTGCCGGATTAGAGCCAAGGAGATACTTTGATAGGATCTTTACGAGCTGTGTTGAGAGTTATTGAGTCGCCATGAGACAGACAGTAGGAGGGCTGTCGTGGGTAAACGATTGCTGAAAGACTCCAGCAAGCAAGAAAGTGGCTGGAAACTTGGACAAGGTTGGGAGGAGCCAATCAACGTGTTGGGATTAACGCGTCACGAAATATCCACGAACAGCGCGAAGATGCAATTTATCCTCTTTAGGACTAGTGGTAGCAATGGAATGGATAGTTAGGTGTGAGAACAAGCATGAGACATCATACTTTTACCCGAATATTGTCTCGTTAGGGTCTATTGAGAAGAGCAATCAAAACATGTATGTCGAGGTGTCAAATAGGTACTTTCAATTACTCTATTCTAAAAGTTGTCCCAAAACCGTCGCGCCACTACTTTATATCACCCATCCTTCCTAGAATATCCCCCTTTTTACTTCATTTTCTTTCGAAAATCCCGAGCCATTCCTTTATGAATAATTCCCCCTCTTCCCTCCCTTCTTCTGCCTGTCAATGTGCGCCTTCAGCACATTCCTCGTTTCCACCAGACTCCTCTTTCCCTTTCTCTTGGCCTTGCCCAACGTCATCAGGAAGTTCTTCTTCCTCGCCTTCTCCTTGTTAGTCGTGCTCTTGCCCTGCGCCTCTTTCCTCTCCTTCTTCTTTGCAGTCTTGCTCTTGTGTTCCGCGCGATCGGTCTTCAGCTCATTCATCCGCGCGATTTTCTCTGCTCGTGTGGCTTTACCAGCGGAGAGTGCCGCAAGTCCTTCGATTTCGGTAGCTGTGAGTGGATCATCCATGTGTCTAGCGGCGATGGCGGCGGCTTGCTTTTGACGCTGGGTTTTGTTTTGTGGAAGAAGAGATGAAACGTTTTGTTGGGCGCGTAGCTCGGCAAGTTTAGCAAGATCTGCGGGCGTCAGGATACGCGTTGTTGCAAGGGTAGAAGGTTTCTTTTCTTTCTCCCTTTGTGGCTCTTCAGTTGTGGCCCGTGATTCTCCATTCGACTCGCTAAGCTTTGCTTTTTTGGCTGCCGGGCCTTCGTTTTCGGAGTCGCTGACTTCGATATTGATCTCCTCATCACTATGAACATCAATCCAACCGCCGGAGTCATCGCTTTCATCTCCCTCAGCTACATCCCAAGCAGCCCAATCTTCGTCCTCACTTTCTTCATCTCCATCCTCGCCATCAGAGGGCAGACCCTGCTCGCGCCTTCTCTTGCGTCGCTCCTCTTCCTTCCATTGCTCTAGTAACTCAATTCCTTCAATCTCGCCAGTATCTTCCTCTCCAAAACGAATATCCTTCCGCTCCCCAGTACTTAGCTTGATTGTTGCATTCTTTCCTCGATCCCTTTTCTTCAGTAGCTCTGCACCGACTTCCCGGTAGAGGCTCAACAACCCCTTTGCAGCCATCATAACACCTTTATCCTTACTTTTCCGATACATGACCAAATCCTGGAGCAAGGTGTCGTTCATGGCAAGTGGCTGCCTGACGCATATTTCTCTAATAGCGTTCAAACCAGCGGATGCAACCTCAGCAGCGGCGGCTTCGGACACGAACTCGTTTGCAATTTTCTGAACCAGCGGCTCGAGAACATCGGGCGGGACGAGTGGATGCGTTGATTGAGCCAGTGATGCCAGAAATGAAGTGACGGATGGCTGCTTTGGTGTTAGGTACTTGAGAAAGTATGAGTATAACTGAATCATTGTAAGCTTATGTAGGCCCACAAGCCGGGAGACAAGCTGTAAGACGAGCAATTTCTGCTCTAGGTTAAGCTTGGACTTCGTATTTTGCAAGTGTTTCGAGAACAACGTCTCCGCGAAGCCCTGGGGGTCATGCAGAAGATGAAAAGCAGAAAAATTCAGCGGGTGCGGTTGGTTTTTCTTCTTCTCCTTCTTCTTGACTGACGCGATAGCCTTCTCTACCTGGCGCGCTTTCTTCTTGCTCTTCTTATTAATCGCAAACTGATGGCGTATTTGGGATATATCATGCGTCTCATCATCGCTGCTCTCGTCCTCCAGCTCCTCTCTCTCCTTGTCACCGCCAAGAAAAAACCGCACGCCGCCGACAGCCACTTTCTCATTATCCGCTAATGCAGCTTCTTTCATGATCTCGACTGATTTTGCATCGCTCCATATTTGCCGCTTCCATAGTTCCCTCGTGATTTTTATGGCCCAAAGAGCTTTCACGGACGTTCTATCGGAGGTTACGAGGTTGAAGAGGACGGTTTGGATGGTTCTGTTGAGTTTGTGATTTATAGTTTTCGAATTCGACGTGCGCAGGTCGGAGAGGATTTTCTGGAATAGGAAGGCTCGGAGGGTCTTGCTCGGGGTAGAGACTAGGACCGGGAAGAGGGTGTGTAGGAGTCTGTGCAGCGATTTTCGAAGAAACAGAAAAATAATAATTAGCCCGTTCATACTAACAAATTGACGAAGAAAAGAAAAAAGCAACAACATACGTAGCAGAGTCAATGATCTCCTTCTTCCTCAACAACACCAGACTACCCACAATTTTCTCTCTCAATTCCGGCTCCAGCACCGCATGGTGCAGTGACAAAATCTCAATCAATTCATTAGCGAAATTCTTGGTGATATCCTTGTAGCAGTCGGCCACATGCGCGATGAATTCGATAAGATCGCGCAGAGAAATTATTCCCGTATCTGTCACTGACGATGGCGAGGCCATGAATATGTCCCGGTGGCTTTCATATTGGTAATGCTGATTGCGGAAATCTTCGATGTAGGACCTGCGGTTGGGCAGTGGAGGTGATAATTGTTAATTGGAATGAATGGAATAGAGATTGCAGGGGCGCCCCTCGCTACCATGTAGCTGCCACAGAAAGAAGAGAGAGAGAGAGAGGATCGAACTTGAATACGTACTTCGGGTCTCGTCGGATTTTATGTTGGAGATTTGTCCTGTGCTTAGGTATGTGACGTTATTGTTTGCTCTTTCACCTGATGTATTTGCGGAGGGGTTATTTACAGGTCAGCATCCACCTTTTCCAAAGCTCCTAATTTGCGTTTTCCCATGGCTGGTAAATTTGCTCTGGCATGGGTGATTAGAGACGTTGGGTGGTGTTGATTTTCTGTGGACGATTTTTTTTTTTTTTTTTTTTTTTGGCTTTGGAGCTGGTGCAAGTCAATTCCGCGCCGAGCCAATGGGAACTGCACGCCAGAATGAATCCATTAAGACAGCTGATTATACACTCCGTTTTTAAAGGAAATTAAACTTGATATATCTGAAGGTTATAAATTACTATTATTGTTATTGTTATTTCGGAGACTATGCTACTACCCGAGAATCTTCAGAATTTATCAAAACTTAAAACCTGTGCTGCATCAACATGTATAAATTATTCTAAATATACCCCACTATCAAAATTCTGGGAACAATTTGTGAAGACAGCATTATTTTCTAAACCCTAACCTCCTATTGCCTCGATCTTTTTTTTTTATTATTATTTTTATTTTTAATTGAATATCTGGTGAACTGTCGACTCCGTAAACAATCTCGATCTGTTTCAGCACCTGACTGATGAATAAGGTTTAATCTAGGTCTGTATTTATTTTTTTTCCCTTTCAGACTTTATTCGCAGGTCCCTCATTTCTTTCAGTTCCCCATCCTTTGACAAGTTAGCTTCCTTTGGTGTTGATTTGTTGTTCATTATCATTTTGCCTGTCAGAATCCTCGTCAAGGATCACAGCCAGATCCTACCGGTTAGGAGCGAAAAAGCAGGTCAATTTGGAAACCGACAAAGTATCTTGTCCTTTTCAAATGACAAAAGAAAGAAAATTCTTCATAATTCATTCAACTACGTAGAAGGAAAAGGAAGGCAAAAAAAAAAAAAAGGATATTGTCCCGTAAGTGGATTATTGCTGTCCTTTAACACACCCAGTCCAGATATAAATTTGGGTTCTTTTGATTCTTTTGTTTTGTGTTAAAAAAATCGCAGATGAACGTGAGAAATGGAATCCACCGAACACCGCAGATTATGGCAATAAATGCACACGCACACATACATAACAGGAGAAATGACCAAACCCCCGCACACCGCACACCCCACACAACAACACCCACCACTAATTGCAATCGATTACCGATTGCTTTTGGCCACACGTTCTAGCTCGTCCTTCTTCTTAATAGCGTATGAGTTTGAGCTTCCCTTGGCAGCGTTGATCAACTCTTCAGCAAGGCATTCAGCGATGCTCTTGACATTGCGGAAAGCGGCCTCACGAGCACCAATCGTCAGGAGGGCGATGGCTTGGTTGACGCGGCGGAGAGGGGAGACATCGACGGCCTGGCGGCGGACGGTACCGGCGGAGCCAATTCTGGTGCTGTCTTCTCGGGGCCCGCAGTTGACGATGGCGTCAACGGCGACTTGGATGGGGTTTTGGTCGGTCATGATGTGGATCTGTGGAGTAAAAGAGTGTTTTGCCCAAGTTAGAACTCAGAATTTCCTTAGATCAATTTGTTGTCGTTTCTTGTTCCAATTCCTCAAAAATTCAAAAGGTGGGATGGGGGACCATCTTGCACGTACGATTTCGAAACTGTGGGCAACGATGCGGACGGCCATGAGCTTCTTTCCGTTGTTACGGCCATTCATCATCAGGGAGTTGGTGAGACGTTCAATGATGGGGCATTGGGCTTTTCGGAATCGCTTCACAGCATATCGACCGGCTGAATGAGAGATGTAGACAGGTTGGCGGATTTGGATGTAATCGCTATAACGAGTTTCCAAAAGTCAGCGCATCCGTACCACCAAATAAAATGACAAAGCCAATTTGCACAATCAGTAGGCCTGTGTTTCTATAATTCCGTCTTATTTTCATATATCTCGATCGTTGGCCATGCACAGCTCATCCCCAACCAATCCCGCACATGTAATGCCCGCAAAACTAATCGCGGTCCAAGAACGAAAATAAAGAATCACAAGAGAACAAAAGTTGACACATGTGCATATTCGAAAATACACATACGTCAAAGACATATCCCGGACCTCGATATCCTCATAGCTCCATTTGTTGAAGAGCTTGATACTGCCGATTTCAGCGGCAACCTCCTTGGGCAGGACTTGGTACCCCGTGGGGCTTTCGACCTCAACTTCCCCGTTGTCGGACATGTTTTCGTTGTGTGTGTGTATTTGGCGCGCTGTTTAGCAACCTGGACGGGGGGGAGAGACGAAAGGGTGGGTGGTGGAATTGCCGTCGTTGTCGTCGTCGTCGTTCTCTCGTCCTTTTTTCTCCAAGGTCAGTTTGGTGAGGAATTTGAGGTGTGGGCTAAGCGAGGGTTAGTCAGCCATTTGCGGGCGATTTAGGGCAGAGATCAAGCACATGTAATTTCTTGGCAAATTTTGGTGCTAATATCACGTGAGTGTCGGTCTCGAACGATTTTAAAAGTGGAAGCTGGAGAAGCCGACCTTGGAAATCCGCCAGAGCAAATATGTATGCATCGCCAGCTTCCAAACCAACTGGGCACTTGCCGCAGAACCAGATTCGCTGTAAAGTGGTTTGAGGCACAGGGATGGAAGCCCTTATGATATGAGATCCGTGCAGCTGAACCAAACTGGGTAGCACATATGACTCCCTGATAGCACTTCCAAGATCAGACCAACAGTATCAGATTCACTGTTGCTCACGGGAAACTTGGGATCTTCAAGGGTGGGGCGAGTCATCCCCGTCTGTTCCAAAGTCGCGGATTCGAGCCTCTGTCAAGGGCCCAGGGAGATGAAGGAGTCACCAATCATTGCCGCCAGAAAACTCCCTTACTAGCTCCCTGAGTAGGGTAGGATTGGGTGAAATGAGCACAGGGGTATCATTACAGAAGAGAAAACTCTGTCCCTTATTTATGGAGGTGGGATTCCTTCGTCACTGGGTATTGTTTCCATCTTTCTCTACGAAGTACTCTTGCAGATCTTATAACGGAAACAAAATGCAAGGCAGAGCTTTGCTGTTAGCAGGGATCTTGACCGTCACTGTCAACACTGTGATTGGATGTCCGTTGCGTAACATTCCGCAGTTCTATTCTTTTCTTTTTCTTTAAACCCCGGTTGAGTTCCCAATTCCTCCAACAGACGGCTAACTGAACCGTCTTCTCACAAACAGCACAGCTAGATGAAAAACCTCGAGCATGTGATGATTTCTCGATCAGCATAGCGACTCAAGAAGATATCGACTTCTACTCCACTTGCACGAGGATAGAAGATGGTATTCCGTTTAGCATCAATCATACTTTCACGGGGCCGTTTCAAGTGCCAAACGTTAAGTATATATCTGGAAAATTCAATGCTGGGTATTTGGGTCCGAAATTTAATTTTTCCGACCGAGTGGATGATGCGGTCACGTCCATCTCCATGCCAGATTTGGAGGAGGTTGGCGATTGGGTTCTGATCGCATATTTGAACGAACTGACGAACGTATCATTCCCGTAAGCATTGCAATTCTCCACTTCAGGGGTATATCCGTCAACCCAGTCCCTTAAAAAATAGCAAACAGAACCTCTCATTCACATCAATCTTCAGTCGTACTTCAACGGGGCCGGAGTTGATTTGCTTTGGTAGTGTCACTGATCTGAAATCTACAAGTACAAACTGACACCCAGCGATTGAAGAAAACTCCGTACCATCGGCAATGATTTGGCGATGGCAGCCAACCCGGAACTTAAAAAGGTCACGTTCCCGGCACTGGAAAATGTCTCTGCGGGAATATTAATCGACGGGGATTTTGACGAGTACGTGTTTTCTTTTCTGTTCTCATATCCATATCCATATACTCTACTCGCAATCGACAAGGAAATCATTGGTTAAGGCGTTTTATTATTTGGCATTGCAGAATCCATCTCCCAGCGTTAAAGCATGTGGCCTATATGACAATAAAGTCCACTGGTGATCTCGACTGTCGAGCTCTGGGCAAAAATCTCTCCTCGCTGGTTTTCCACCCAAACCCAAGCACTGATGAGGGTAAAGGATTCACCTGCTGGACTTTCGATGAGAATAATAGATACAATTCTTCAGACCCTAATCCAACTTCTCCAAACCCTAATCCTACTACTCCAAACCCGTAAGTTTCTCTCTCTCTCTTCCCCTCTCACCCCCCCTTTTAACCCTTACCTTTCCATTGCAGCTCACACTTGAATGCAACATACTGACAACGAGAAAAGAGAAAAGAAGTCTGAGGGAGTCTTAGTTCGCGCTGGGCTTCTGGGTTCTTTGTTTAGTTTGATGGTCATGGCGATTTTCTAAGGTGCTTCTGGCGTAGGGTTGATAAATACTTGTATTATTCCTTGACATGGTTGACCCTGAAGGAGCCGACCGTGTGATAAGTAACCTGGAGGACTGATTGCCACTTTAGACTTCCCTTGGTTTCTTCTCGGGTTGTGTCACCCTTATTGGGGAAGAAGGCGGGGAATTTCGCGATCCTCCAGCCAGAAAATCTATCGATAGATCCCTACAAGGTGTTCGTTATTCCCTAGCAGAAAATTTTTCAGTAGTGACTTGAGTGGCGGATAGTATAGAGCAAGTCGAGTACATGTCAAGTTTTTAACTGTTGGTTACTAGTTCGAGGTGGCCGAGCTGAGACTTTGGAGAGTAACTCGTTAGTAGCCATAAAATACCGCCCTAAAATACCGTCCAGCACACGCCCCACCAACGTCGAACCGGTGCCTATTTGCAGCGAACAGCGGGATTCACGGTCAGTCGACCAGCCACTCCTTTCTTGTCTGTCTCTTCGTCAGTATCCCCCTGCGGTCGACGGCAACATACTGCATAAAGTCCGTCATCCTTTGATCATTTCCTCCGCAAAACGTTTGTGCGCGGACCGTTTCGTGTTTCAGCCTCCGTTCCTGGCACCATACCACTGGAGCCAACCCGATCGTCCCTCTCGCTGTGTGCGCGACTGCTGGCCGTGCTTCGTTTCTCATTGACCTGGCAAACCGCGGGCGCCGATGTCCTGAGATTCCGTGCTCCAGCCGTCAGCCTGTTGGGAGGTCTACTTACCCGCACTCTGCCCAACTGCCCACATCTGCGATCATGGCTGAGGAGAACCCGGAGTTGCTGAGCGCTCTGCGGCGTTTAGACCAGGAGCTGGAGGTGAGTTGTTGACTTGACGATCCATAAGGCTTATGTTCCCATGATAGTTGCTGATATTCTATTCCTTGTAGGATGGTGAGATCACTCAAAAAGGGTAAGCACCCTCTCCGCTTTTTCTGCCGCTCCCTTTGATTATCGTATTTTCGCTCCTGGGCACCGTTGGGTGGACTGCCCTGCATCCTGTCAGACGCCGGTCGCTGTATGTTCCTTAGCTTTTAATACAAAAAGGGGGAGTAAACAAGGGGAGAGGAAAGCTTCTCAAAGCTTTTTTATATTTTAGCCTATAGTTGACGTTCTATGAAGATACGATAAGCGTCGCACCCTTATCCTATCCCACTACCTGACCTCGAACGACGGAAATCTTGTAGATAGAGGCTTGAGAATTACGAGCCCAACAGTTGCAGGCCATCGGGTCTCTCAACTTGGTCTATATTCCCCTCCGTCATCCTCTCAAGGCAGTCGTCCTGCCAGTTCAACTCTCTCAGATGAACGTCCACATTCCGATGCACTGCCTGCCAATTTTACTGGCAGAGAGCAGGAACGCGTAGCCGGGAACGGTATGGCCGGAAGAGATTCCACAGGGAGTGCTCCTCATTCCGTTCAAAGTGGGAATCAATTGGCGCAAATCCAGGAACAAGAATTGGGGTTTTCAGTTCGTTCTGAGCGGCAACCATCGACTGCATCCTTTGATTCCCTTTTCCTCCCTAAAGGCTCAGGTCAACCAGGGAATAACCACGACGACTCCCGATCGGGTACCCTCAGAAGCCATAATTATGCATTTAACCCGGCTGATCAACCCGACTACGGCGAACCCCAGGCCGGCTCGTATGGCCCACCGGGTAGTAGTGGTGGACCTACGCGACAGTCTACCATGCTTGACTCACAGCAGGCATTTTTCTCAGATTTCGCCGGCCAGCAAAGTGAGGATCACAGAGATAACTACGGAGGTGGCTTCCACCGGTACTCGAGCCAGACCGAACCGTTTTCGCCAACCGCTAACATGGCTCCGCCGTTCATGAATACGGCTGAACTGCAGCATGGAAAGATCCTCGATCACCTGTTGCCCCTTGAGCCCCGGGATGTGGCCTGTGAAGTGCACGATCCTCACAACCCTAACATTTCGATGTCACAGTTCGATAATTTACCCAGTGTCCTGCGGCATCGTGCACGGACTCATCCCAAGCAACCCGCTTACTGGGTGCTAGATCAGCGCGGAAAGGAAATCGCGTCGATAACGTGGGAAAAATTGGGGAGCCGGGCGGAGAAAGTTGCGCAAGTTATACGTGATAAAAGCAGTTTGTATCGGGGGGATCGTGTGGCGCTCGTATACCGGGACACTGAGGTGATTGAGTTTGCAGTCGCGATTCTGGGTTGTTTTATCGCGGGGGTCGTGGCTGTCCCTATCAACAATCTTGAAGATTACCCTAGCCTCAACGTTATCCTTACGTCTACTCAAGCGCATCTCGCTCTGACAACTGAGAACAACCTTAAAAACTTCCAGAGAGATATCACAACCCAGAAGCTTACTTGGCCCAGAGGAGTTGAATGGTGGAAAACTAACGAGTTTGGAAGTTATCACCCAAAGAAGAAAGACGAAAGTCCTGCTCTTGTTGTCCCGGATCTAGCTTATATCGAGTTCTCAAGGGCTCCCACTGGTGACTTGCGTGGTGTTGTGATGAGCCACCGAACAATAATGCATCAGATGACTTGTCTTAGCGCGATTGTAGCATCTGCATCTCCTGATGGTACACGACTCGCGAAACCGCACGGTGAAACTCTAATAAGTTATCTCGATCCTAGGCAGAGCATAGGTATGATTCTGGGGATTCTGCTTACGATATATGGTGGGCATACCACTGTCTGGCTAGAGGCTCGGGCTGTCGAGACGCCTGGTCTCTACGCCAGTTTAATCACCAAATACAGAGCTACACTTATGTCAGCCGATTACCCAGGCTTGAAGCGTGCTGTCTACAACTACCAACAAGATCCAATGTCGACAAGAAATTTCAAGAAGGGTAGCGAACCGAATTTTTCCAGCTTGAAACTCTGTCTAATCGACGCTCTCACCGTCGACCCTGAATTTCATGAGATTTTGGCCGATCGATGGCTACGCCCTCTTCGCAATCCGCGCGCTAGAGAGTTGGTCGCTCCCATGCTATGCCTACCAGAACATGGTGGCATGGTTATCAGCGTTCGTGACTGGCTTGGTGGAGAGGAGCGATTGGGGTGCCCCCTTACGCACGAGATGGACCCTGCAGGACAGGCCGACTCAGATGAAACAAAGAAAGAGGAGAAGACGGAAACGTCTAAACCCGGTTTCGGAAGCAGCTTGATTGGTGGAACCGCCGTTCCGACGCAGAAACAGTCTAAGAGTAATAGGGCCGATTTGAACGAGGTTCTACTTGACAAAGAGGCGCTTAAAAACAATGAGGTTGTCGTGTTGGCGATGGGGGAAGAGGCGAGGAAGCAAGCTGAAAGTATGCCCAACACTGTTCGAGTTGGTTCATTTGGATATCCTCTCCCCGATGCTACTTTGGCTATCGTCGATCCAGAAACTGGACTACTTTGCACGCCTAACATTATCGGTGAAATTTGGGTGGACTCACCTTCACTATCGGGTGGTTTTTGGGCATTACCGAAACATACTGAGGCTATATTCCATGCTCGACCATATCGATTCCAGGACGGTAGCCCTACTCCCATCATTGTGGAGCCCGAATTTCTTCGCACCGGCCTTCTGGGATGTATCATTGAAGGCAAAATATTCGTTCTCGGCTTATACGAAGACCGATTGCGCCAGAAAGTCGAGTGGGTTGAGCATGGAAGAGAGGCCACCGAGCACCGCTATTTCTTCGTTCAGCACCTGATTATTAGCATTATGAAAAACGTACCTAAAATCCATGACTGCTCGGCGTTTGATGTGTTTGTAAACGATGAACATTTACCAGTCATCCTGCTGGAGTCTTACTCTGCTTCGACCGCACCGACAACCTCTGGAGGACCACCGAGGCAATTGGATATAGCCCTTTTGGATTCTCTTGCTGAACGATGCGCTGAAGTTCTGTACCAGGAGCATCATCTTCGTGTATTTTGCATCATGATCACAGCCCCCAATACGCTGCCACGAGTCACAAAAAATGGACGACAAGAAATTGGAAATATGTTATGTCGCAAGGAATTCGACAGCGGTTCATTGCCATGTGTCCACGTGAAATTCGGAGTCGAGAGGTCTGTTTTGAACCTTCCCATTGGGGTGGATCCTGTTGGTGGGATATGGTCGCCCACATCATCATCGGCTCGACAAGGTGCGCTTGCGATGCAAGACAAGCAATATTCGGGTGTTGACTATCGAGATGTCGTAATGGATGACCGGACTTCCACCCCATTGAACCATTTTACTACCATCTTTGACCTGCTGCAATGGCGGGTCACGCGACAAGCGGAGGAACTTTCTTACTGCTCTATTGACGGGCGTGGAAAAGAGGGAAAGGGCATTACATGGAAAAAATTCGATACAAAGGTTGCAGGAGTTGCCATGTACCTGAGGAATAAGGCTAAGCTCAAGGCTGGTGACCATGTCATTCTCATGTATACACATTCCGAGGACTTTGTTTACGCTGTCTATGCGTGTTTCTGTCTTGGAGTGATTGCTCTTCCGATGGCGCCTATTGACCAAAACCGCCTCTCGGAAGATGCTCCAGCATTCCTTCATCTGGTTGCCGACTTTCGCGTCCGGGCGATTCTTGTGAACAGCGATGTAAATGATTTGCTAAAGCAGAAGCCAATTGCTCAACATATAAAACAATCTGCCAACGTCCTTCGCATCAATATCCCTTCCACATATAATACAGCGAGACCTCCAAAACAATCACATGGCTGTCGCCATCTTGGCTTGACTGTTCAAAAGGAGTGGCTCGCTCGCCAACCTGCGTTGGTCTGGACATATTGGACTCCGGATCAAAGGAGGATGTCCGTCCATATTGGACATGATACAATTATGGGAATGTGCAAGGTACAGAAAGAAACTTGTCAAATGACAAGTTCCCGGCCAGTACTAGGCAGTGTTCGTAGCACGATAGGTCTCGGATTCTTACACACCTGTTTGATGGGGGTTTACGTCGGTGAGTTTTTATTTTATTTATTTTTTTCAACTTGGCAATAGTATACAAAGGGTTAGACTGATGATGTATTGTGTAGGAGCGCCGACTTATCTTTTCTCTCCTGTTGATTATGCCACTAATCCAATCTCACTTTTCCTCGCCTTAGCAAGGTACAAGATCAAAGATACCTATGCTACGAGTCAAATGTTGGATTACGCTATGGGCAGCATGGCCGCTAAGGGGTTCCAGTTGCATGAATTGAAGAATTTGATGATTGCGTCTGATGGCAGACCCAGGGCGGATATCTGTACGCTTTTCCTTGTCTTACAGTGAGAATATATGAAACTAACCGACGCACCACAGACCAGAAGATTCGATTGCATTTTGCTTCTGTAGCGCTTGACCGTACTGCAATCAACACGATCTATTCGCATGTTCTTAACCCCATGATTGTGTCCCGCTCTTACATGTGCATAGAGCCTATCGAGCTGTGGTTGGATACCAAGTATCTTCGCCAAGGTCTCATCTATCCTGTGGATCCGGACTCTGAGCCGAACTCTTTACTGGTCCAAGATTCGGGCATGGTGCCCGTGAGTACGCAGATCGCCATTGTCAATCCCGAAACTTGTTGCCTTGCCCACGTGGGTGAATACGGTGAAATATGGGTCCAGTCTGAAGCTTGTGCGAAATCATTTTATGGGACGAAGCAAGAGTTTGATCTGGAGAGGTTGTGAATT